AACAGGGTGTAAACATAAAACTTTAACTTCAGAGGAGGGGCCTATATTTTAGTTCAGTTTGACTTTGGAACAGAATTGAGTTTTTCCCCATATTGCCTGATTATTCTCGATGATTCTCGAAACTACGCTCTTATCGTCGTCCAGTGAGTTCTTCTTACGTAAGCCATAATGTGCACATTTTTTGCTGCCTGAAAAAGGTTTCCTATTCTTAAAATTATTGTCTGTAACAGGTGCGCAAGTTCATCTCTTTTTGTCTGGAACAGGTGCAGTCTCAAAAACTTAGCGGCTCATGCGCATACATCAGGGAATACCCCCAGGCACTACCCCGCTACTAATAAATAACTACAATACTCGTCATGCTTGTGTACGTTTCCCCTTCCTCAATGTTGATTTGGGTATTACGGTCGTTTCAAAACAAAGGTATGAAGAGTGAATGTAAGAAATTTGGAGAAAATTCAAGAGAAACGGCTTCTGTTTCAACGATTTGTGACGAGTATTGTAGCCCGTCCCAGGTCTCACTTCATGATAGCAAGCACGGGGAGCATACTTATAGGACAAAGTCATGTGACCCCTGATGTCTGGAAAATAGAAAAAATCATTTGCAATTGTACATTTCTGTACTTACAGGGAGTTGGACCAAGATATGCAAGAGATCAAGGAGCTCAATTCCGAGATCTTCAGCGTAGCTAAAAACAAAAATAGCGGCGACACCAAGCGCGCCGACCTGGTACAACTGTCAGTCAAGACTAACAGACTGCTTAAAAAGATCCTGTTACGACGCTTTCAGCTGGAGCAAGAAGCAAAGTACATCAAAACAATGAGCAACAAGGTTGCTAATCGTGAGGATGGCGACGATGTCGGTGCTACTATAGATCCTCGGGAGAATGGAATCGATAAAGTTATAAGCAAGTTGAAGACAATGATTCTTGACCTTGATTCAACCGAAGATAAACCGGGCGGGGTAAATGTTTTCTTTTTTTGGTTCATTTTCGTGTGTGTGTGTTATTTTGTAGTCGCATTCCCGACCCCAGAGCTCTTCCTGTTGCTCAACAGGGACTTTAAGATCTAACGACGCGACGGTAACGAGAACGTCGCTTAAAAAGTGAATTTGTATTCCTTCAATCTTAACAGCGATTATTCCTCCCTTTTTTACTTTATCAAATGTAGGCGAACCCTCCTGAAGCTGAATTTCAAGGGACCAAATTTAAGCTCAGAAAGAGAAATAAACTTTCGTCGTTGCTTGTTTACTTCCTCCATAAAACGCCAAATTAGGCATTTTCACGTCGTAGTCGTGCAAAAACAGGAAAGAAATGTACAAAAAAGCGTGATGCACGTGCGAAGTTGTTGTTTTGCTTATTAAACCAATTGTTGTTTTTTTGACGTTCTCGTTGCCGTCCGCGTCGTTAGATCTTAAAGTCCCTATTACCAAGGACGAGAAGGGCCCAGGCGAACCCTGGAATATGCGCAGTCGAAACCCCAGTCTCTGGTGACGATATTAGGGAGCTAATACAAAGGCTTTAATGAGCGATGCACGTCATCCGGAAGTGAGGGCTTTTTCACTTTTAATATGCCTTGACGCTGCCAAATTTGTATTGCTAAGTGTCTTTACTCTTACATCACTTGTATAGAAGAAGCATTTGAGTTTTGCTGCCGCTTGTTCGCGGAAGAACTTTCAAAACTTAACGACAATAGACCAGGAGAAACTCCAACTCGAACAAATTTACGTTTGGAACCCATGACTACCAAAATAATTATGTCACCACTGATTTACCTCATCAGTATGGAATTTCTAGGGACTGAATGATCGGACGACGCGATGGCAGCGAAAACGTCGCTTAAAAATTGCATGTACGTTCTTCCAGTCTTTATCGCGATTATTCCTGTCCATGTACTTCATCAAAAGTAGGCGAACCCCCCTAGAGTTGAATTCCTAGGATCCCTATCCAAGTTCAAAAAGAGAAATATAATTTCATCGTCGCTTGTTTACGTCCTCCTTAAAATGCTAAATTAGGCAATTTCACGTCGTATTCGTGCCAAAACGGCAAAGAAATGTTGCCGTTCTCTTTGCCATCGCGTCGTCGGAAGTCCCTTCTGTCTTTGAGACGCAGACTTCTCTCCCGCGAAATTTCACGAGCGGCGTAACCTGTTCCAGGTGTTCAGGGACGGCGAGATGAGGGATATGGGGTGAGTTCATCTCTCCCTCTACTTCTCTTCCTCCATATTTCTTTCCCGCTCTCTAACTTCGCTCCACCCTCCACTATCGGAACGCCTGGTACAGCAGGGCTACTAGCGGCGAAGAGGGAGGAGAGGCGGCTGTATTCGCTGCCTACCATCTGACTAGACCAGGGCCGGGTTCTTGAAAGCCCGATTAGCGCTAATCTAGGATTACCATTTTGTGCCATTTTTGTATTTTACCTTTCTATGTATTGCTTAGAGTAACATTTTGTGTTATCATTACTGTATCGCCGAATAAAGGCTCAACAGTATTTTGTACCCTCGAGTTTAGGTTTCTGGGAAACTGCCCACCTACCTCTCCCCTACGCTAACATTAACACGTACTTCTCACGTAGGGCAAAATGTTGGCTTAGGGGAGGGGTAGGTGGGCAGTTCAACAGAACCTAAATTGATCCTCACGTTCTTGGTTTAATCCTGGGTTAACGGTAACCATTTCTCGAGGAACCGGGCCCAGGCGTTTTCTAAATTGCATTGTTCATGTAGGTAACTGGAAGCGCTGAAGCAACATCCGAAAGCACGGCAACAGCTGGTGTTCGGGATGAAGATTCCAAGTCAGATCTGGGAGCGGATTCTGGAGTAAAAGTCAGAGTTTCCAAAGTCAAGAAGGTTGTCCTGGATGATGACGACGATGACGATGACTTGGAAATGAAAGAAACAGATCTTGACGCTAAAGAAATGGAAGAGCTTAACATGGAGAAACGGCTACGACTGGCTACGAAGAAAATGGAAGAAATGGTTAAGGAGCAGTTGAGAAACTCTGGAGTCGTGCCATCAGGTTTGAAAAACAACCTAATCAAGATAAATATTCAAGTGGAGAATTTCTTGCCCGCAGAGCTGGCCGGATTAGCGGGCGAAAATCCCGAAAATCCTCGAAAATCCCTTGCCGCGCGCGCGTGGCGGCTTACCCGCCAAGATCACCCCGCATACAACCCTGTCAGCCACGTAGGTTATCCATAGCCTACGTTCGATATATTAAAATTCTAACATGATTTCGAGGCTTTACGGACAAAATTGCAGTCTCGCAATTCCCAGAAGAGACTTGAGCACAAAGAAAAGCAAACCAAGTATAGAAAATGACCAGAAAGCCTCGGACGTACGCTGTTTTAAAACATTTTTTTGTTAAAAAAACTTGATCAGCAATTTGGCTCGACGTAGTCACGAAGCCCAAAGGACGTCTGTGTGGGAGGCTAAATTAACAACAACTTCGGTTGAAAAACGAATTTGAACTTTGATGACAAGAGTAAGAAATAGCCCCTGCGGTCTGTCGCTCAGCTGACATTACTAATCAACTTCAAGTAGCTTTCCGAGGTCGAGATACATGGGGCAAAACACCTATCACACAGAGCAATGAAGTTTTGAAACAGTGCGTACAAAAGAGTATGATGCACCTTCCGAGATTTTGTTTCGTTAATCTAAAAACTGAACCTGTAGCTTTATTGACGTTCTCGTTGCCGTTGCCCGTCGTCAGATCTTAAGGTCCCTCATATGACGGGGTTGAGAGTTAAACTTAGTTCCTTATGTAGAATAGTCAGGTGACAGTACACTAGGTAATTCCATCCTAAGAAATTCGTTCAAGTCAGTGCCAAAACAAACAAATACCAACACAGTTTTTTTGCACGCTCAATAAGAGGCTAGGACTCTTTTCTAGATAGAGTCATTGAAGAGCAGTCAGTGGAAGCTTTTAAAATGGCCGTTAATGCAATGTTTAAAAAGAACGCTGACCCCGGAGCTTTTACTAATTATTATTGTTGTTGTTGTTGTTATAATCGAACAACATTGCTAACTATTAAAATCGTTAACAATGCTAACAATGCTAACTGTTCAAATCATTAAATTATTATTATTATTATTATGATTATCATTATGATTATCGTTATTATTATTACTATTTATTGTAACACTCGTACCCTGTCTCATATTTTAACACTAGCACTTGCACATTTGCACATTTGCTATGATGCAGATTACACAATTAGAATCAGTCACTCCGAATGACTTGCGTCAAAAACGCAATCGTGACGTCTTTTTTTTTTCTCATAGGGAAAATAAGAGTCAAAATAGTGACGTCAAAGGACGCACTGGAGAACATGGACGGGAAAAATGACTTGAAGTTACTGAGTGAGCGAGAAGAAACTCAGTTTAGAGACATGATTCTTGGTTTGTTGGTAAGTGTTGGATACAAGGGCGTGCATCAGACGGTTATGTCCTGTAGTGGCTGTGCTTTCATCGTGCGTTCCCCCTCCTAGACATTCTGCAGCTGGTATATACGACCACACGTAGCGTATTCGAATCGTTTTCGCCCGTCTATCCAAAAACCGAAAACGCTAAACAATGGAAGTACGATAGCATCCCTCACAGAGCATGCCCCTGAATCATGTATTTTTCTTCATATCGCTGTTTGTCTCATTGAATTTATATCAGTTTCAGTGTTTGTTTGTCGTTCCACATACACGTCCGGTTACACTACAAAACACCACTTGCGAATCTATTTCGATCTTTCTTTCTCTCTCTTTTTTTCCTTTGCGTTTTCCTTTTATATGCAGTTTTGTTGCCTACCTTTTTAGCAAAGGGACAAATTTAATCTGCAAATAGTAGTAAGTAAATAGCGAAATTGGCAGTGGATTTTTCCTTAAAATGTTTCTTTTGTGTGTGTGTATATAACTCTGCTCAACCGGACTGGTCAGAATATCCGAAACGAGGTATCGGTGTCAGATGACTGGTGCATAAGTTCAATACCCCATCTCCTTTCTCAACCCTCACCCTTTTACATCTTTCTCACAATACTCTCCACATTTTTTTTAACATTAGGGAGCAAGTCCCGATGCCGGGAAGGAGAAGAGACGCCAACAAGATTTAGAAAGCAATTATAACTTAGTGTGGAATGATGATGGCCTTCAAGAAGTCCCAACGGAAGATGATGATGCCGATGGCGAAGTTGAAGTCGTATCGTTCTGAAAAAGAGTAATCTATTTATCTTGGCATGTTTGCCCTCATTCAAACACGGACAGCAGTTGAACAGGGCGATGGCGGGCTGAATAGATTCCCCACTCCAGAAACTAGAGCGAGAATGGGTACAAGCTTTCGGCGCCATGATTTCTGGGATCGTTTGAGTGGACAAGCGCTTACTTATGATTGGTTAATAGTTGAATACCATCGACCAGTCGTAACTAACGCTTGTCCACCCAAACAATCCCAGAAATCAGTGCGCCCAAAGCTAGTACCCATTCTCCGTAGAGTTACTAATGTGGGGAATTAGAAGCTCTGTTCCTTCAGCGTCTCCTTTACTGCCTTTTTCACAAACATGCGAACTATAAAGTTCAAAAGCCGCCTTCACAACTGCGTTTTTGGCTGCGGTCAATCATAATTACGATCACAAGCAACGAACCTGAAAACACAGAAACACACAAAACGGATTGAAATCCACCAATCACAAATGACAAACCTTGACCTTTTGAACCCGTTAAAGTAAAGCTTTGTTTCCTAAGAGGTCCGTTAAGATGATTGACGGCAGCGAAAAACGCAATCGTCAGTTGGCTTTTGAACTTCAGAATTCGCATGTTTGTAAAAGCGCAGTAATTCTCCGTTGCGTGCAGTCTGTTGCAGACTCAGCTGTTCTCAAGTTATTTATGCATTTTTGATAAGCACATCTTTCTTTTTGGAAGGCATCTCATAATTATATATCAAACTTTTCATTCATTTGAACCCTTTCTGAAAGACAGGTTGATTCAATTCAGAGCTAACTCGGTCAAATTTCACGTTAGAACTATCTCACCGTCTAAAAACCAACGTCTTCTTTTGACTATTACACTAAACTAAAACTCAACAGTCTTTGTAGGTGAATTGGGCGCCAAAACGATCGATGCATTTACGAAGTAATATAACGTACTAGAAGAATGTAGATTTTCTAATGACAAAACGTTTTGAATCTATACGTAGATTGTAAATAATAAAATCTTTATCGTAATTGTTGTGGTCCTGACATTTACTGATCTAAATAGGCGAAACCCACTCCCTTTTAGGGGGCAAATTAGCTTTAAGGCTCTCTCCTCCGAGGAGGCTTTCGCTGGGTATCCCAATAAAAAAGCAAATAATCGAAAAAAGCAAGCGCGGGGGTGACGATGGCAAAAGGGAAAAGCCTCGCTTCCTCTCTTTCCCCAGACTCGCACCTAGTCGCTATTTAAGTGTTTTTTGGGGTGAGAGAAGATTGGAGATTAGGTTGAGGCGCGCGCGGGGTCTCTTCCCTTTCCATGAGATCCTGCGCGCGCCTCAATCTAATCCCCAATCTTCTCTCACCCCAAAAAACACTTAAATAGCGACTGGGTACGAATCTGCTCTTTCCCCTTCCCATCGTTCCCCCGCGCTTTCTTTCTCCTTCTCCCCAGCCTCCCTACGACGCTAAGAGGCCTCTACGGATCGGTGAGGCTTTAATGCATAAGAGGATGCACCCAACAAAGTTTTACACGGGGAGGTTCCGAGGTCCAACCCCTAACGCTTTTACAAACCATTTTTGACATAGAGGATACCCCTTTTGACAAACGGTATTCTTTTCACATACCTAGTTTCACTGCATCCCTTTTATCTGTTTTAAATGCGAAGCCGAGAGTTTTTACACCTAAAGAGTACACGGCTGCGACTTGTTTGAATGGCTTCAAACTCTCTTATAAAGATCAACTCATTCTTACACTAACTGGCGGATTTAGCAAAGACAACGTCAGCGCATTGACGACGGCGCACGCAAATAAAAAACTCGACATGACCAAGAGCGACAAAGTGAGCACCGGAAGTCGCGGTCAGTCTTTTTTATCGCTTTTCTAATGGTCCATCCCTAACCCAAGGGTTTTAAAAATAGAACACGGTTTGCGCGTGGAGATGTCGGACTCTGCCCCTTTTACGGTTCCACCGTGAAAGAATGCACTTTGTTTTTCGAGGACATTTTGCTCAATAAGATAATAAGAAATCACCTCCTTTCCGAAAATATGCAATGAAATTATGCATCATTTAACAATGTTACCTTTTATTATCTCATGCACAAGATCATGGAATTTTGCGTGACATGATCTTTGGCGCTCGACAACTGAGAGCAAAAATATTGTCAAACTCTTGGCAATGAGCCAAACCATTCACTCCGTGTGCTGCGAGGACAATTATTTCCCAAAGGGAAAATTTAAATTATTTAATAGTTTGTTTCACTCAGTGTACCTTGTTTTTTCCAATTTTTTTCTACTGTATTGCCGATTTGTTTGCCGTGCGTTATCTCTGGGTCGTATGTAACGAAGACAAATGCTGTGTTGTGACACAGCACGCAGCAGACATTCGCGTCGCTTGGCTTGTTCACGTTCGCACGTATTGCGTGCCTATTGCAACTGTGAATCAAAACAAGCAAACTCGATCACTCGATTTGGGCGATGCCCAAGTAAAAAGCATCTGTTAGCCCTTTTAGGTCCTTTTTGAGTGATTTTACTTGACCTGTGAGACAGATACTAACAGCTGGTTCAAAATAGCAACAAGTAAACAAAAGAAAACAATGTAATATTATTAGTCAATAATAGTGCATAGTATTTGACTACCTATTTCACGAATTAAGTAAAATCACTCTACAGACCAAAAGGACAGATTTCCCTACCATTGTATACACTTCAACTCGTGTAATCCCTACCATTTTACACATATATATACGTGAAGCCTCAAAAGGTACCTCTTTTGGGTGGGACCCTCCCCGTGAAAGCCATTATAGCTCCCCCCGCCACCCTTTCGGGTTTTAGGCCCGGGTGAAACGCGTAGCCATTACTTCACATTGGCCAAACTTGATCGAGTCCGGTTAGTGTGAAGCCCACTTCATTTGGCTAATCGATTTCATTTGGATTGGCCGACACTTTCTTCATGGCTGGAGTCAGTATGAAGACCAGGTCGGAATTTAACTCAACAGCCGTATATATAATAATTCTGGCTGACTCAAACTGTAATTAATGAAGTATGGCCTTTACACCGGGCCTAAGCTGAAAATGGATATAATTTCGGGGCTGGGGTCAGCCCACCACCCGTTAGCAGACTCTTTGTCTTCTTGGAGGAACAAGAGAAAAGCAGGCTCTGCCTGAATCATGTCAAGCCCTTGAAGACACAGCAGCCCCAAACTTCTGCATACTCAACAAAGACCTTAATCAGTGGGCAAATCTCTTCTGATGTCATTGTTTACATTTTTCCTCATTAGCATACGACTCAACTCATAGACGCCGTGGTCAGAGTTTTTATTTTATTAGCGTCATCAGATAGTGACAAGCATATGTTAATGAGGCACAAAGTGTAAACAAAGATCTTAATCAATACATGCAGTCTTTCTTGGTTACGCCAAAATCAAGCAAGCAAAAGAAAGACTTTAATGGCAGGGTGCGGCCAGACACAAGATATCTCCTGAACATTGTTTTGTTAAGTGTGGAATAAATAATATTATTGTATTAAATGAGGTGAAATTGTACTCCGCTTTTTTCTCCACTCTTAAAATTCATTGCGAAAAGCCCTGTGCAAATGGACGTAACGTTGTTAGCCAACAACTCCCAATGTTGCGTCTGTTTGCACGTAGCTAAAAGTTTGACCTGTTTCAAACTTCGCACAACAACTCCCAACAACATGCCACAAGGAGTGCAAATGGATACAACATGCAACATCCAACAATGTTGCGTCCATTTGCACATAGCTTAAGGACTGTTTTGACAGTCAAATGTATGACTAGAAGTCATGAAAATGATGCAAGGTCCTGTAAAAGTGCTGCAAGTTATGAAATTATCACTGGCAGTGTTTCGCCTCCCCATTGCTTCACAACACGTTTGAAAAAGAATAAGGTTCTGGCAAGACACAGAAGTGGGGGAATGAAGTGTGCCTTGGCCGTCTGCTATATCAACGTTTCCATGTATATTTAGTTTTCTGAAACTATTTTGACAAAGGTTTATGTGCCCTTACTTCCCTTAAATTTAGTCTTTCCCATGTTACATTCAGAACATTAAATGCTCCGAACGTACAACTCACTGGTTTCAAAATTATTTCGAAACCAATGAATTTTACTTCTCCTAATGAATCAAACACTTTTTCTAGAAAGAACAGTAGTCTTGCAACAACAAAACACTTAGGGACAAATAATTATTTCCATTTTTCTAGACGGCTACTTTATTCCCACATATTTTTGGCAAGCAGAAAACATAGTTAAACTTGAAATCCTGTACAGACCAGAGGTATATAATATCTAAAAAGTTGTTGTGGCATCGTTAATTTACATTGTCAGCTCCTAAAAAAGAAAGTAAAGACAAACACATTAATCCTAAGTCTCAAGAGTGACAAACATCACTTTTCTCCTAATATTATCAATACATAATCAATAGAAAAAGATATGAGAATTAACAAATGATCAACAAAGGAAAAATGCCCTGATCTTTTATCAAATTCTCCTGACTAATTCTGTAAGGAAATGTATAGCAATCAGTCAGGAGAATTTGTATGCTTATATTGGGGTTTAAAGGGTTAAGAACACTTTCCATTACAGAAAAGAAGCTGTAGTTTTAGTGGCCTGAGAAAACAGCCAACATTTGGTGATGCTACCACTGGTTTTCCCACCAAATGACGTCTGAGAAATGAAGGCAGAAATTTCACACTGGTGATGCGTCACTACCCAGATCTGGGTAGTGCTTCTGATTGGTCGTGCCATATGGGAAATTTGATTCAACCAATCAGAGAAACTACCCAGATGTGGGTAGTGACACACCATCAGTATGGAATTTCTGCACTCGTTTCTTAGACATCATTTGGCGGGGAAACCAGTGGTTGCGTCGCCAAATATTGGCTGTTTTCTCAGGCTATAAATTTAACACTGAACTTTGAGAATAAAATCTTCCAATTTGACAACTACGGCCTTAGCTGATCAACATGCAAATGATGCCTGCTGATAAGATTTACCCTTGGAAAAGTTCCAACAAAAATCATACCACTAAAGCTGAATAGACATAAGATCAAAAGACTCCTTTCCAAATAATTGCCAAGTTTTAGAATACTAGCCCTGGTTGCATTGGTTTAGAACTCTCCCTGGGCATAGCCAAATATTCTAGAATATTGCTCCCAAATCATGGTGCGACCTACAGTCTCAGTCAAACTTGTTGGGACACTTTACTTTCTCCTCGTCCTCCCAATGTTGGCGCACAAGATTTGGTGAGTTGACTGTGATTAACATTATTGGGAGGGAGAGGAGACGGGGAAGAAGGAAAAGAACAGTGCCCAGTGGACATGTCCGACTACTTTTGTCTGATACTGTAACACTTTGACCCTTGAAAGTTTAGTACAAAAGCTCTACAGTTAAAGCAGGACGCCATCAACCTTTATTTACATTAACATGGCAAAATACCAAGTCATCATCCTTTTCCTGGATGACGAGCAAGCTTGCTGCTTGGGGGATAATGTGAATTGAAATGGAGAGCTTCCTTGCAAGATATCCTTTCTAGTAAGAGTGTAGAGGAAAATCGATCCCAGGGCTGTCATTAAGGTTGTAAGTGGCTGGTCTCTCAAGGAACGTAGCCAGCTGATTAAAGTGCCGGTCATTTGTTCAACTAAGTTCAACCTTAATATAGTCAGCTGATTAAAGTGTGGTAACTGGCTAACAAAACTGGCTGCTGGCTACTAACGACAGCCCTCTCATCCATGATGTAATAAACATGTGCAACAAAACCTTACAGTAAAAAAAAAAATTGAAAAAATTCACATAGCAAGGGGCCTTACCATGATAGCATTGACAATATCGTTATCATTGTTTTTGAGAGCTTTAATGGCCTGTAAGAAACAAAAAATGACTTCATCAATACTCAATTTAATGAAATAATGGGAACACAAGTATATTTTGAATGAATAAGGAAAAAGATGAAGGAACAAAGGTCATAGTCAATAGATTTTCAGTTGCACCTTTTTATTCGTCGAGGGACATGTGACTTTTCCCCCTCTGGTTTGGCCTTCTGTCTGCACTAAAGTGGCACTTCAACTGACCACAACATTTTTAACATGCTATGCACGTTTTTTTTTGAGTCGACAGCAAAACTACGGATGTTGCAATATGGACTTTGCCTTAATCCTTGGAGAGTAAACATAAATTCAATAAGATGAATGAAGAGTAATCTATTAAACTGACCTTTGATCTCGAGACATTTGCCTGTTGTACAACAAGTTCGATATCTTTTTCTTCCACTCCAGTTGCATTAACCTACAAAATACATTGTAAAGTAACAATTATTCATTGTCACATAAAAAAATAAGGTTAAAGGGATATGAGATAGAAAGAGGAATAGATTTTTGGGGCTGATCACTTTAACAGCTGAAAGTTGAAGGATTGACCCTCTCATTTCCAAAAGTCACCAAAGTTCTGTAAAATTGTATTACTTTTGTTTTGTAAAAATAAAAATAAAACCAAATAGTACCAGGAGAAAATACTGCAGTGCTGAAGAGAATTTATTTGAATAGTAATACTACAAGATTTCATCCACATTTCAAAAGTTAACACCATCTTACAAGAAGACTATCGATCACTCTGGAAGTGACAGTGTTAAATATTAACCTAAGAGCAACTTATTCAAACAAACAAGGGAAAAAACTGAGATTCATAGGTAGAATGTACAGGCCTCGAATCTTAAATTTTTTTCAAGCAGAAGATTTAAGTTACCTCTTCTTCATCAGATTCTTCTTCCTGTTCAATGGCAGCAGCCTTAGCTTCAGACACAACAGGGGCAGGTTGAGGGGCCTTGAATTTTTCAGCAGCCTAGACATAGTAAAACAGAAAGGAAAGTTCATTTTGTGCAGGATCAGGAGCTGTTGTCATGAATAGCTGACATACACTCAGAGGAAGATTCAGGATTTTAGAATGCTACTACATGTACATGGCACACAAGCATCACAAAATTTACTATAGCGATAAAAAATTATTATTATTACCATATACTTGAACAGTGTTCTCACCAGGATTTTGCCTTGGGGAGTCCCAGGGCCCCCTCTTCTGAGAAATAGGGGCCCTGTAAGAACATTAGGGGGACAAAGTTACAAAAAACACGCGGTACGAAGAACCTGAGCCCGCACTCCAAATTGTCTGTTACATGAAGTACCTACCTGATCCAATATGGCAGAAGAGGTGTTTACGATTCGGAGGAGGAGTTTACGATGTAGTGGGACGTGCGTGGGACCAATGAAAGTAAAGGCAACAAAATTAAAGACTTTGACTTATTTGATATCATGTTTTTTTATTTATTCAGACAAACAGAATGCTTTAGTGTTAGGGTGACCATTAAAACTACTTAAGTCCGTTTGACTCGTAGCTTGCCCCTGCGCCCTAACGGGCGCATCTTCTTGGTTTTAATGCGCCATTTCAGTTTTTTCTTGCGGGAATCCCGCAAGGCCGCGGCCTGGTGAGAACACTGCTTGAAATACACAAAATGTCAAACAAAAGACCAGTACATTTCAAGGCTTACCTCCACTTGTGCTTGTTGGCTTAGATCTTCAATCTGCATTAAGAACAAATTAAACAATATTGAAAATACATTATTTGATAAAATTAAAAAAAACGTCAACAAATGATGTTTCCTTCACTGAAAATACCCTTAAATTAGGTTTGTTCACAATAATCTTGTGACAATTACCTCCCTTTACCCTACAATCTACCATCTACCTTCCTACCAAAGAAATAGAACAGTGCCCTCAGCTCTCATAATCTTTAGATCAAAGGACCACTTCTGACCTGGCCTGTCCGCCATGTATGGAAGTTACAACATGAAGCACAGAAATGTAGATTTGTATGCAAGACATATGTTTACAAAAAACAACAACAGGCACAAACAATGGATAGCAGGCTTCCAAGCCAGGCAGACATTCCTCACCATAAGGCATCTTTATCGTCATCGGGCACAAAGCTATTTCTTTTATTTGTTTCTCAAAACCACTCCAATGTTATCATTAGGACTTATTTTAACCACAAAAAATCCTTTGTTCATCCCCATAACTTAAAATCCCGAGTACCACCCCCCCCCCCCCCTAGAAGGGGGGCGGCAACGAATCTTGGTCTTTGTTTAAGAGTTAGTTAAGGAGGTCTTTTGTAACGATTGAGCTTAAAGTGATGTTACTACTCTAGGGTTTTGAGAAACAAAATCCTTGGATGTAAACAGAACAGTAATATTCATACAGTATTGGTACATACCTTTGCCTCTCCAAACACAATGTAGGTGTCAGATCCTGGACTTCTGTATACATCAGGTTTACTGATAACGAACAATATATTCTTGGATTTTCTTATCGCTACCCTTTTAACTCCTGACACACTTTTGAGACCTAGCTTTGACATAGCCTTGCGAGCTTTCTTCTCACTTCGGCTTTGTTTAGCTTTGCTAACTGGTTCTTCGGTCAATCCAGCAGCAGCTGCTATATCACTTGTTATATTGGGCTGTCCAGCATCTCCTTCTTCAAGCTCGGGCAGTTCATCATCACTGTCACTCTCGGTCCCTGAAACAACATCAGAATTAAAACAGATCCATATATTGAAAACAAAAGTTTAAGTTGGGAGAATACCTAGACTCCATTCAGTGCAAAAAAGAGCCTTGAGTCTATGTCTTTTTTAGTTCTTTGAGTAATTTTATCCCGAAGGTCTTTCTGTGTTTGCTCCTTTCTCTTTGGAGTTCTACTTAAACTATAAAGTTTACTTAGCATTGGAATTCAAGGACTTTCCAGCACCAACTGCAATTTTCAAGGACTTTCAAGGTGCGTGCGAGCCCTGCGTATGGTACTGTGGTATTGGGTACACACAATGTCTCCCTCCTTTTGCAAGAAAATAGGGTAGTAAGCTCAGACATCAGCATACAAGGGTACCACTGCATGTGGCTAAATTGGTTAAATTTACGGAAAAAGTAAGAGCAGAAACACGAAACGGAGGAACAGATCATCTTACAATAAAGATTAAAGTTAACTCTTTCATGGGCCCTAAAGAAGCATGACTACTGAAAGCTCCTCTTGATGTCAACAAAGTTGCAAATGTTGCTGTCATTGAGAAGACAAACAACCAAAAAGAGAACACAGAATCGTCAAAAACCGTTTCTGCTGATTTATATAAAGGGAGTACACGCAATCCTAGTGATGTTATTTTTGCAAAAGAATGGAACACACATGGTGGCAAAAATTGTTTGCACGTGCAATCCAAGTGCTCAGGACGACGACAAGAAAGTATGTCAGCAAGACCTTCTAGGCCAATAAAATAAAACGCTTTCAGCAAAACAAAAGGACATTTTTTCCGTTTTTACTGAAAATGCAAAGCAAAAACCCTTCACTGTCCGTGAAACCAAATTCATTTTTTCTCGACATCGGTAAGGCAAGATTGCGTCACTGTCGAAAATAACTTATAAACTCGGTAAAATCTTTAACTATTCGGCGTTTCAGGCCAAAATTTTTACATAAACGTAAGTAATAACGTTGACATTTTAAAAGATCCTATTTTCAAGCTCGGAGTATTTCTCTTACCTTCGGCATTAGCCTCTTCTTCAGCCGGTGGGTTTTCTACGGCAGGCGTCATCTGCAACAAGGGCCACAACACATCAATAAATCGCAGGAAACCTTGGCTGCTATTCCCGAAATAACCAACGAATCGAATGAAACAGTAGCTGAAGTAACTCTTAAAAATACTACGTACTTGGTTAAGAACTTAACCACAGCGATGGAGGAAGATTTTTGCCACCTACCTTTGAGAAGAAACGTTAGCTCCTGCTTGAGAGAGGAAAGGAATGAATACGATGTCGCAAAGCATCATGGGAGAACATGCATTTTGGGAAATTATAACAATTGATGTGGACAGGACTGCCTGAATTGAGGGAATCCCTTGGGAATGTCATTGATCTGAAGACAAAATCCACGAAAGCGCAAAAATTATTTCTTGAATTCTAATTTTTCTCTTGGCATTTGAGCCCGGGAAGGAGAGCTTGAGCTACAACAGAGCGGCGCGTACCTCTAACCCAATCAGGCCCACCCCGGGGCAAAACGAAGAGGAATAGCGAAGGGCACTAATGACGTCACGAAATTTTAGACCCCTGTCGTGAGTCAGACAAACAAACGCCAATTCTGTAATGGTTGTAAGGGGAATGTGTGAATGGTGAGCGGTTCGCTTCCATCTTTTACGGTTCTCACCGACGAAGACGACGTTCCAGGCTCTCAGGGAGATATGAGGATATCTTTAGTTGGAGCCATAATATGGAGACAGATGATAGTAGTTTTCAAGTGTAAGAGAAGTTTTCAATCACATTTTCGAAAGCAATATCATACATTTTCACAAGTCATCTAGAGTCACTGCAGGAGCGGATCCTGTGTGACCGTTACAGATAACAAGAGTACAATTGTAGTTTTACAAAATTTACAAGGGGTCTGGAAATAAAATAAAGAATTCAAAATTCTAAATAGTAAAATACAAAAGGCAAAAGCTAATAAAGCATCAGCTTTTCACTGCTGATGTTGACATTAAAGTCTTTATGATAAGAGTAATCTTGAATTGCGCACACGCCAGTCTTTTCGCGCTGTAGGTCAGTCGACCTGTTTTCAGGGAGAACTCCCATATAAAAGTGACTGGGATGTTCTTCGTCTCGCTTACGGGTATAAATTGCGGATTTTGGTGTCACTTCTAGACGTTTTGGTCGGGGTCGGGACAGAAAGCAAGCATTTCCTTTTACCCATAAAGGCGTGAATAAATCTCAGAAATACCTGTATCGACTGTATCTAGTAAAAAACATTTTCTGTCATACTGTGTTGAAAAATGGGTCCTAAAGGAGCCATAAAGCTCATTGAGTCACACCCAGATTTGTACTTGTCAAGGGGCACAACAAAATTTTTCGTATTGCGTGAAGATATGGTTCATCGTCTTTAGGCTTTGAAAGACTGTGCAAGCATAATTTTTGGCATAATTCGTCATTACGAGAGTAGTTTTTCATATATTTCTCGAAAAAAGCACTACAAGCATATTTCACAGGACTCTATGCATGCGCATAACTATTGGCATAATTAATTATTCTAAGAAATATATGAGCACTGCTAGAAGCATAATAGGCCACTTCCGAGGTCCAAAAACCCTCCTCACCACTGTGTAAGTGTACAACCTTTCTTGTGAAAATGAGTTTTATTTGCATGAGAATGAAAAATCATTTCCATATCAAAGGCTGAGCACTTAACCTCTTTTTGATACAGAGGCCCGGGGAAACTCTGAAATGTCCTATTATAATGCTACTTTTGAGAGCATAATCTATCAGAACCTAATCGTCTTTTAATTGATTTCTATGAAACTTTAAAACGGTTAGCCTTTACTTAGACTTACACATGCAACGAGAAATATATGCCTTCTTTGGCTCGACTAGAAGCGTGACCCACCTAGCATGGTCACCCTTTCATGATGGTATAAGTTCACCCTTCTGGCCTGGCGAACCAAGAGCCATAATTGGATCTTGGGCGAACTTGTCTACCAAAAAGCCAGTAGAGGACTTTGGGTACGAGATTGCGCCCAATCAGGTCAACTCCGTCAAGGTCAGACAATCTGAGCATGCGTGAGTGCGGTTGGCTTCGGCAAAGGAGGTCGACTTTTTCTAAAGTTGACTTGGCCGGGAGGTTGACTCTTTTACCCCGGACAGGTTTTCTCTATTACAACGGGGTCCAACTTGCTCATTGGGTGCGAACCTGTGATGGCGCAAACGTTCAAACTAAGGTATGGACTTTCTTCTTTTTCAATAACTGCCAAATGCACCTAAAAGTGAACTAGCAACAGGAGTAAGCCTTCTGAGAAGCAGACTGGGCTTAGCATGATAGTTTTTTGATCTAGACACATCCAATATACAAGCTGCTTTACCAAACTGGCAGGTTTTATTCTCAGGTACAAAAGTGCACAAAACTGAAAACTACAAAAATTATATAAAAGGTTATACCAACTTATTAAGTTCCTTTCAGCTCGAATTACACTGTATGTTTTACCCGAGAAAATCGTTCCCGAGGCCAGTTTCTAGGAAATTATGAGAACTTCTCGGGCCTGGGGATTTCCTGAAACGATCTGAACCAAAGAATGTTAGTGCAGGTTCTATCCCATAAAACAGTAGTTGCTTCGCTCGTTAACTTATAATTAGTTGATCCGATTCTTACTTAAGATCCGGCGAATCTTATGAACAAGGCTGTTCCTGTAGGCCCAAGAAGTTTCGAGATTTTCGGGAATGAATTGTTTGCCGCATTAGAGAGGTAAAGGATCGCATGACTACGGCTACGAAAGTGGATTGTAAGTGGTTACTTTTCGACTTTCCCCGCCATTCGACTAACTGGTATTTAGTATAGCTATCAGGGGCGTAGCCAGCTTTTCGACTATTTGTAGGTGTGGCTGACTTTCATTTCCACATATCCTGAAAATTGCATGCATGACCAGTAAGCACTGAACTCACCAACTCTTTGACCTCTAAAGCATTCTAGCACACCCCAACAACGTATAATTTATTACAAGCCGCAGGGTCATCAAACCAAAAATTTGTAGGCCTGGGCATACAGGTCTATGGGCTGGCTATGCCCCTGGATAAATCCTGCTTCAATATTTAGGCTTTTTCTACGGACACCTCTCTCTTGCAGACATTGAGCCACGTTATATGGCAGCTTATACTAAGAGGGACACTTACACGGAATACCCATTGGCCGGCGTTTTAATTTCGCAACCGCGTTGGGGCCGGCAAAGTGAGGACAGAATTACGTATCCAATAAATATCAATTTAAGAAAATGTGGTATGAAATTATAAAAAAAATTAAGTACATATTTTTTCGCTGTCTAAGCAGGCTAGTGTCCACGCAAAAGAGCGGTTTTCAACAGATCAAGAATGTGGAAAATGTGAAGACGGTTTACCCCGCCTGGCTAGCTGTTGTCAAACTCGGGAGCGAGCGCGTTATAGAATCAAAGGCTACTCTCACACGGCAGCAGTTGAATTTTCGACTGGCTGAAAAATTTGACCGCACATCACTTCGTTCACATGGGAACAGTTCAATATTTTCGCTCTGTTCACACGGAAATTGAACGCCTAGTTGTCTTAATTTTAGTACGGTTCAGTTGGTTCCGTGTGAACAGACCACCCAAACGTACGAATATTCAACTGATCGAAGCCTAATTTGGGACGTACGATCTTTTATTAACCAAGCTTATCAAGGTTTCTAAAGCATAAGGAAAATCGCTCTTCTGCACTCTAATTAATTGTGTTGTAAAACTTACTCAACGCTTAGCAGCAAATTTCGTTTTCCATGTTAATGGAACTCTTTTAACGGTACAAATACATAGAATATCAACGTACAATGGAATTATTTTTAAACATTTCGTGTTTGAAACTCCATAGCAAAGTTCAGCTACAAAGTTGATTTAGTTTTAAGCAATCCAAAAAGTTCTTTTATCCTCGAATTCTTAATTAAAGCTCTTCCGAGCTATCCGCGTACATTTCAAATTGATTTACACTTCAGATCATTTTTCAACGAAGCATTTAAAAGATTTTTACTATGGATATGACGCCATTTCAATTTAAAATTGACAATCCAATTATATTAACTATTACAAGGACGCTTGCTTCGCCATATTGCGAGATTGAATCAGTAAGATTATTTATCAGTTAAATAACGCTCATTTTTCTTCATTTAACCTTTTATGTTATAACAAAAAACGCTCTGCCCTGCAGAGGCACAAATATATATCTACTCTAAGTGAATATAGTTTTTAAGGACAGTGCAAAATGGGAAACTACGTTTGTAGCCTTCCTCAAGGAACAAACACGCATCTCACTCCACTATCAATCTTCCAGCCGATCTCATCCATTTCTGGTTTCTGATAGCTAGTGAAGCCCTCAAGAAGTTCCATGTAGCCTGCGTAGCCAGCGGAATTTTAGCGTGAGCAAAATTTTGGCAGAGGAGTTACGAAGCCGTGCGGAAAAAGGGGAGAAGACGCTTAGAAATTAGAATTTTGAATTTTCTCTCGCTTTCGCCGCGAAAACTCTCGCACGAGCAGAAACAATTCCTCCAGCTACGCAGGCTAAGTGAAAGCGAAGGAGCTTCAGTTACAACATCCTAAACAACCCAAACCACTGGGTTAAACATTGAAAAACGACAAGGTCCAATTAACTTCATTTTATAATTAAGGTGCGGTATAAAATCACGTTACTAACTGTAAAAGGTTAATACACTTTGCTGATTTCCACGGACCATCAGCACGGGAGGGGAAGCCGCTGACAACACTTCCAGCCAGCTCATGTACAGCAACGGTGACATCACCTCCACCTTGGGGACGGGCAGAGTAAGGACAATCAACTTCGCATCGTTTGAATGTTCCCGGATGAGCTCGCCAAGGCGAATATTACGCATGGTCCTACGGTCCTTCTCCAGAGTGCTCAAGTCTGTGAATTCGTCTTTTATGGGCAGTTTCATGAAGGTTTGGATGCTCTGGCTAGAGGGGGCTTTGTTGATTCCTTCGACCTCAACAATGCTTGAGAAATCAATGCGGAATCTCTTCAGCAGGTTCGCCATTCTTAGTTCGTTGCTTTGCAGTTTGTGGGTCGACGCTGGCGTGAAAATCCTCAGTTTGCAACCTTTCCAGTAACTGTGAATGGACAGCAAGTAAGGAATAAGGATTGTCAAGCCTCCATCGTCTCTGAACCACCACACATCAATGGTTCCTTTTTGTTTTTCTTTAAAAGCAATTTCAGTTTCACTCGGGGGTTTTTGCGGCTCCACAGGATCCGTTAGCTTGGTCGTCTCATCGACTTTTCCTTCGGATCCTTCATCTTCACCTGGCATTTTACTGACAGTGACTTTAAATTTTCCTTTCTTCACAACTTGTGGACTTTGTTGTTCGTCTTTAGTTGAACTGACTTCGGTCTTCTCTTGCGCGTCAACCAAGTTCTCTGTTTCGCTGCTGCCTAAATTCTCCCCGTTGTTTAACTCCGTGGTCTTTTCTTTAAGAGCATCCAACTGGTACTCTTCTTCATGGCTCGGACCAAACTCGGTGTCTTCCGTCCTCTCGTTGAAGTTCGTGCCTGACATAATGTGTTCTATCGGCGCTTCGTCATCGTCCGCCATAGCCAGCCAGTCTTCAACTTGGTACTTTGAAAGCTCTTGCAAATCAAGCTCACCTCTCAAACGCAAAATTGCCACACCGTAGTCCAACTCAAAAGCGTCATGGACCACATTCACATACTCCTCCACGACGCCTCTTCCCGAAGGGTTCTTCCACAGCATCTTCCAGTCTCGCTTAAATCCCAGCACAAGCGTGTTAGGTTTCAACTTTCCCAGGCCTACCGTCTGCAGCATGATGCGTACACCTTCTCGGAAACTGGGCGCTAAGGAAAGAAGAGTAAATTACATCAGCACCCTCATTTCTCGTGTCTTCTCGCTATTCCGCCTCTCGGGGACTGTGCGTGTTACCCCCTACTAATATACCCTTCACATCAACAAACATGTTAAATTAAACGAGCTTTAACGAAATGAAAATCAGTAACGGAAAACTAAAACAGTGTATTTTTTTACGCAGGATTCAAGAAAGTTTTAACCGGTGCTTTCAATTGCATTGAATTTGTAGTCGGCAAAAACTAATAAGTAGCTTTTAATTTGCTACAAAAAAGAATGCGTTTTTTGACAGAAGTGTTCTAGATTTAGGACGGTTTTTCTCAAGTCTCCTTTGTCCATTGTAAACTTTAATGATGTTGACAGTTCTCGTGTATAAAGTGCTGTTACGGTGTCGTGTGGTAGAAAAATGGCACTCAATCCCAATGTGAGAGAAGTTTCTAAGTTACCTGAGCAAATCGTATGGAATGCTCTGATTTTGCGCTGTTTTAGCCAGAGATCCTCATAACCTGAGACGGTGCCAAAGGGGCCAATCTTGACCTGACCACAGACCATTAAGCCCGTGTTACGGGTTATCTGCGATACCAAATGAACGAGGTCGGGACGAGACGAGGGACTCCCCGTAAGCACGAGGCACTGGGGACGGAAGTTCTTCACGTGATCTTCCACGTCATTGAGACGATACGTAAAACGAAGGGCGCGGATGTACGTGTAGGCTTGCGCAGAAGAGCCCCAGTTAACCTACAAAGGAGGTAAAAAGATAACAGCCGCTTTAATGGGAATTATAGAGTGTTTTCACTCACGTGGCCAACATATATGCAAATTTATTGGAACAAAAGAAAGCGTTTGCATAAGAAAAGAGTTCAACTCCCAGAGGACCGGTTTGGGACACCAACATGGCCGCCGTTTCATTGTTTTGGGACACCAATATGGCCGCCGTGACGTCATGTGAAAACACTCTATACCGTGGAGAGAGGGACAAATTCGGCTTTACTAGGCCCAGGCCTAGCCAATGGGGGTAGGCACGAGTCGGAATCGGACTCATAAGTCCCCCGCGAGGTACCCCGGCACAACTCCCACAACCTGGCCACTGTAAGACTTTGTTAGGTTCGCTAGTGGTTCTTTTACAAGGGTGAGGTATTCGACACCAAAGAATTCGCTACCATTAAACAAATTTTGGGAATAGGAGCCTTTGAGACGAAGTCTGAACTAAACCACTCCTGTTGGATCCTTCAACGAAGCGAATATTCGGTTAATTTAGCAACAGAACGGGAACGTCAATTGACGACGGAGCGCGCAAATCAAACAACTGGCTTGACCAATCGCAGAGCGGCAAATTGGGCACCGGAAGTCGCGTTTAGTCCTTTCCGCGCGCTTTCCCGGCGTCAACTGACGTTCCCGTTCTGTTGTTAAATCAGCATATTACCACCAGCTATACTTGTTCAGAAGCAAATGGATTTATTTCTAGTGTAAGATATCGCCCTATGAAAGGGAATCCGCATTCCGGAATCCCCAAAATTTTGTTCCGGAATCTGGGAAGTTTTTCTGTGTAGAATCCGGAATCCTGGGCTTTGGAATCCCTAATACAGCTCAAGGAATTCTGGAATCACACTAACGATTGGAATAATCAGAAACTACAATGTAAGTTCCACTGACAAAGAATTCGGAATCCACGGTGTGGAAATCAGAATCCAAGACTGTCTTGAATTCCCTTAAAAAGTGCAAATGGCAAAGGATTTATTCGTGAACAAAAACTAACCTCGGGTTTCTTGTAGTCCACGTACTTGTACAACGCAATGATGATGACAATTGTCACCAGAGCGGCCCACCAATTGATGAGGAACATGATGACAACACAAACCAAGGCCCCAACCAGGGACACCCACATGTTGTACCACTTGAATGAGGGCCGCCATCCAGGTGACTTCCCGAGAGAGGCCGCAAACACCGCATAGTTAATGAGCGCATAAGACATAAGAAAGAAATTTGAAATGACTGGAGCAATGACATTCAGCTCTCCAATAGCTATAAAGGCACCAGCGATTAAAAAGGTCAGGATGTACCCTCTACGAGGTTCATCACCAGGGCCAACCTGTTAATGAAACAAAGAAGACAGAGAAATTTGCTTTGACTGATGCACTAAACCAATAGGCTTACACACGAGCAGCGGGGTGAGTATTTGTCGAAAAAAAAATTGGGTGGGAGTGTAAGGCAAAGGTTGTGAAGTCCTAATACTATTTCAAAACAAAATATGTAATTCTCGCCACCCTATTTATGACTCGAACCGCTATTGTGAAGAGAAAAATGAGAAAACACAAAACAACAAAACACGGGGTTCGTACAGGTTTTTAAGACTTTATCTGTATTTTCCAGACATTTTCCAGGTCTGGAAAATTGTTGAGCAAATTTCAAGATTTTTCAAGAATTCAAGACTCTGCACGAACCCTGAAAACACAACAATTTACTAGATTCCAGAGCCTGTTTTCAGAGGGCAAAAAACTTAAACCTGAACACAATTTCGGTTTCCATTAACCAAGAAAGACTTGGTGACAGTCTAAACTACATTTACTGCACCCCGTGGTTGTTTGTGAGTCTAAACTACATTCACTGCATCCTTTGGTTGGTTAAAAAAACAGAACATGTGGAATGTCAACATTATTTTATGGACACCAAAACTCTAACAAAACTCAAACATCACAAGAAGATTAATTTTATTGGCAGGCCATCAAAGGCTACCTAGTGGTATTTTCTTACATGATTACTTACCCCAACACCAAAATAATGCATTCCAGGAAAGATATTATCCTTACAAAGTGCTTGAAATGTTTTTGGTGCACCAACTAAACTAGCCAAGGCAGAGGACAATGTTGCAGCAAAGATTCCCCCTGTAACAATTGGTCCCCAAGCTGCAATTTTCTCCATAACCTAGAGAGATAATAAGAAAAGGTAGCAGGGGAGGTCAGTCTGATCTGAAGAACAAAAAAAAATTAATCAAAGCTAACTTGGAGGCCTTTTCTTTCAACAAAAAAGCATCGGTAATTACAATGAAATCAAAGGATTTTATCCATTTTTAATATATTTTTAGATCTATTTTAAAATTAATTAATGAAATAATATTATTGTGTTCTAGTTTTAATATTTTTTAATTTAGCTCCATCTTAATTGAATTTTGTAAATAGTTTTTATTTGATGTCTATATGCTATTTTTATTTTTTTATTTATTTTAATTTTTATTATTTGTACTTTAGTAGGTCCACACCAGCCTCTGCCTGCCCCTCACTCACTTACAAGAACACGCATCAGTAACCTTTCAGTGGGTTTTAATAAAAATAATAATACATTTTTAGTGCCCAATAAGCCATTTGCACAATGACATCACTCTACTACTACAACTAGAATCCTTCAAGGTTTTGCTTTCTTGTGCAAATTGTGGCTTCTGTTATTTATTCCTCACTAGGATTACCAGTTTTAATTTTTGAAAGGACTAAAACAAAAAGTATTCAGATTGTAGCAGTAAAATGACGCCATCATGCAAATGGGCCTAGTATCCATAAAAACGCTCAAATGTGCATGACGGTCAGTGAACAAAGTAAGATCTAAATATTAAATATGAAGGACCTATCACCAAGTGTTGCTTTGGATATGAAACTAGGATAACTAAGTAAAAGATTGTCATTTGAATTCCTAAGACTGTACAAATATTGCGATGGACACCTAAGAGAACAACATTTTTCATAAATATTGTAATCATTTTTCGAGCATACAAAGTAACATACCTGGTAATCATTCATTAGTCCATATTCACAGCTGAAGTCTACCGAGCAGTGTTGTGCTGGGGTACTGGTAACGTTTGCTATAGTCTGATTAGCAAGCACAATTATACCTGATGCATCTCGCAATACGCAGGCTAAAGCCAACCAATCAAGAGCAACATATACAATTGTACTGATGATTATGGCCCACAGGGTTCCCTTGGGAATTCCCTTCTGCGCATCCTTCAGATCACCAGAGATGTTCACCCCAGCCAAGATACCAGTTGCAGCTGGAAAGAAGACTGCAAATACAGAGAAAAAATTTTCACCTTCTCGGTACGCTGGCCCAAAGTTCTCCTTGAAAAGATTGAGACTCAACCCGACAAAGCCTCTAGCTTCACTTTTCTCATTCAGTGGTCCTATGAAGGTACCAATAATAACATCGACAATAGAGACCAAAAGTATGCAAAGAAGAAACATCTGTGTGCGTACAACCCACTCTAAGCCAACTAAGGTGACGCAGAGCAAGAGTATCACAGTACCAATACCGACAATGCGGATGATATTTAGTTCGCCAATCACTTCAACACCGCCGCCATGTTCTTTAATCAGATCTTTGACAGTTTCGGCAAATCCAACAACGTACAATGCAACAGCTACAGCGTTTGCCACTGAGAAGATTAAACCAATGGAACCGCCAAACTCAGGACCAAGACTTCTTGATATCAAATAGTATGCACCACCTAACAGAAAATCATCAAATAATTTAGTTCAATAAATTTGAACACAGAGTACATGTGTGCTGATATGCTGCAGTTCAATAACGTTTATGAACATAGACTGAAACTTGAAAAAATTGGGCCAACTGTTTCAACTTTTTTAAAAATGCTATGCCTGCAAAAATCTGACACTGTTACTAAATTATTATGGTTAATGCTTCCTGATGAAAATTGTTTGATATCCTCTTCAGAAATAAACAGCAGCATTTTTTTCACATCATGTTACAACAACTATAATGGTGTTAGTACCAACAATGAGAGAGCAGCCATATTGGTGTGCCAAAAAATACAGTGAGGATAATGAACTGTCCTCTCACATGAAAACATTCTTCTGTTTCTGAACAAATTTAATATAGAACCAGACGTTTGCACTAAGATTTTTCTCTGGCATCAAATCTTGACTTGTTAAAAGATGGTGTACAAATCAGAGACTGCGTTGAAAGCCGGTCATTATGGATACAGTTAAAGGGAACTAGTGTTTGTGAATGATTTAAGATTAGATGCTAGTGTGTACTTGTAGATCACTTTTTAGGACACGAATTTAAAGCGAATTTGAGCCTTGAGATTTTGAGCTTGTAGTTAAAAAAAGGATTGCAGCCTATAAAACGTTTTCACAGTAAGAGGGCCGTTTAAACGAGGAAATATAAGACGCCTCTTACATAGGACGCATCCTAAATAAGACTCAAACTATCCCGTATAAACAGCACATTTCATTTGAAATTTAGCTAAGACGCGTCTTATCTAAGAACAGCCCCTAACACCTGTTCTTCGATAAGATGCATCTTAGCTAAGTTGCATCTTAATGTGCCATTTACACGGGATAGTTTGCGTCTTTTTTAGGATATGTCTGATGAAAGACATGTCTTGTTTTTCCTCATGTTCTCACCTCCTTTAACTTCACCATTTGTACAAACAGCTGACATTGACAAAGTTGTTAACCACGTTACAACTGCAGAAAGAATAATGATAACTGTTGACCAGCCAATTCCTGCTTGCCCTCCAACCCACGTTAGACGCAAGTACAACATGACTCCCCAGATGTTAAGAAGACATCGCAGCATGACGCCCTTAATCCAACCAAATTTGGGGGCAACCTTGGCTTTCTTATCCTTCTTGGGCTGGATGACAATTTCATCACTGCCGATGCCACCATTTTCAATATTCTCTACATCATGGGGTACTTCCAGGGGCTGTGTTGTGAAAAAAATATAATAAGAAGACTAAAAATTAAAGTAAAGTATTGGTCACGTAAGCAATTTTATATACAGTTGAACATCTCCACCGAAGAAAGTGGCTGACGTAGTAGAGAGGTTTAAACGAAAGTTAATGTAAGGACTGTCTGCCAAAAAAGTTTGACTGTACATCATTTGCCAGTAAAAACTAGTCTCACTCAGCAGACCCTTTTGTGTGTTGGGGAGGGGGGGTTCATATGTCCCTGGTATGAGGAATCTTTATGTCATTTGTTGCCTTTTCATCTATTTTTAGGTTGCTGTCTCAAGGGCGTGTTGCTAGTCGAAATTCTACCGCAACAGGAGTCCCCCACTCAGGCACAATAAAATGGGGAACTTGACCTCTTCTTCCCTGTTCACCTAAACATCTGAGTGAACATTAATCTTAGGAGACTAAAGAATAAATTGACAGCCCATCATAAGAAAGCTATACTAAAATCCATTTTTGGGATTGCATTGGCACTGTTCCATAGGCTTTAACAGCATGCAAAGAAAGTAGTGTCTGATAGCTTAGGGCTAGTATATTTTGCTATCGAGCTAGTGAATTCTGTTCTTAACTTGCCTCGCAAGAAAGTGAAGTTTTTGGGGAATTTAAATTACAGAAGAACTGTAACATTAATGCTGCTCATCAAAAGCAGCTTTACGGGCTAGTTGAAATGACTTTTGGTCTAGTACATGCTAGCTACAGCTGCAAAACTGACCCTCTTTGCACCCTGAGGCTTGTAGTCTGCGTAGCAAGTGTTTCTGCTCAAGTTAATGCACAAATGAGGCGATCAGAGAAAAAAACAAATAGAGAAGAAAGCAACTTCATTGCTGGAAGTGACTGATTTTGTCATAATTTACCAAAGAACCAGACCCCAGTTGTCTTAAAGGTGGATAAAGCTATCACCAAGATAAGGCTTTCTCTAACGGATAGTTCATCACAAAACAGGCACTATAAGCTAAAACACCCGGCCAGCATCGTGTAACTTAATGGAACTGTGTAAGCAAATACTTTGTTCTAGGAACTTTATCTTCTCAGCACTACCAGCCGACTCCGCCGGCACATGCTGGAATACAATCAAATATAAAAGTCTGTGTTAAAATCAAAGCTTGGGGAAGTCGCTGTGAGACTTAAACTGCTACTGATACGTGCGAAGCAGGTAATTAGGACGACTGAAGTATTCCAACTTAGCAATACAGATCAGAATGAGACACAGGACTTTTACTTGGCTTTTTATAGTCCCAGTACTATCCTAAGGTAAGCCAATGAAAAATACTGCACTACTGAATAGAGTGTGGACCTAAAGTGCTCAACGAGATATGCATGAGGAAGAATATTTTTACTAGCCATACAAAATGAGCAATACATTAGAAACTAGCCCCAACTGCAACAAAAACAAGGATTGCTACTGTACCAGTAATTTCCCAACTATAGAAGTGATTTTACATACTACCCAGTACTTTTACCCACTACTACAGTACTTACCCGCTTATAAGAACCTGTATTTAAGAACCTGTTAGCCTAAAATTCTCAATTTAGACCCCATTTACATAAGAACCTGTTTAGCCTAAAATTTGAAACAGGTTCTTATTTCATGGAAAATGTTTCAGTTATAACTTCTTCTGTCAAAAAAAAACATTTTATTCAGGCACATGGACAGAAGTATATATATACATATCTATTTCATTGGAATATATTAATACATGAACTTTTAGTTTTAGCTTGATACTGAATGTATCTACTAAAATTGGTCATGCCTGTGTCATTAAATTAATATATATTCCACCTTTCTACCATTTACAGATGTATAATATATTTCTCATTATATAAGAACCTATTTAAGACCCTCTGTAGCCTAAAATTCCACTAAACACCATTTACATAAGAACCCGTTTAGGCTAAATCTGAAAAAATAGGTTCTTATAAGCGGGTAAGTACTGTAGTAAAATTATACAAGATTTGATAAGGGCTATAGCATAACACTGTGTTACATGTTACTGATTGAGGGCGTCACAATCCATTAAGTGCATTTTACAACTGAGTTGTAAAACTTTCTTTCTAAAACTAATTCTCTGAAAAGAGATTTATCAGGTGGATAGTGCTATTCGCCTTATAAACAAAGTAAGAATGTTTTGTCCAGCATAAGCCATCTGTAGCTGGCATGCTTACAGGTTTTTTTGATATAAAGTTGTTTTGAGACAAGTTGTCGATTCAGTCAAGGTCAAAATAGTAGTTTGGTTTATATAACAAGAAATTTTGGTTCATGCGAAACATTTCTGCACTTTATGTGTTCAAAATTGCTTTTTACAACAACTGAGCGATTTCTCGCACGCTGATTGGTCGAAAGCTATGTTTGATAAACTTTGCAGTGAAACCATGAGAAAAGTCTTCGTAAAAAAAAATAAATCTACATCTAAGCATGTTTTAAAGCTCCGTGCGTGCTTATCATATGAAAGCTCAACTATTAGTACATTTTGGTTTTAATTAAGCTTACAAGTTTTATAAAAGTCTGTAAGTGTACACTTCTAGTTGTTATCTCCCATCATATAGTCCGGAATTTCGAGACTATCATTCGATCGTTATGGAAGTCTAATGCCTTATGTCATAAATAATCGATAAGAATAATCTAGCTATACGACAGCTGAATACGACAACAAATTATCCAGTTTCACGTTTCACTCTTGACAACGCAAACAGGAGTGAATAAGAAGTTTTTATTGAGCAATTTTAACCTTTTGTATTAAGCTACATGTATTGCACGAAGATTAATTCCCAGTTAAATCGCAAAGAAACGCCGGTGTAGCTGATGCACTCGATAACGGGTGTTACCAAAACAAAAAGATAATTTTTTTAAAAATCGGTTCGCGCGCGAATTTGACGGGAAGATGGCATTATTAGTCATGCATTTATAGAGAGGAGAATTACATGTGTACGCACCAAACAAAATATCATCGCTGTTTTAAATTGATAGGCAGGAAATTGTTCGCATACCTGTTGCTCATGGTCTTCTTCGAATCCTTTCCTCAACTCGCGAAGTGTCGGTCGCGATTTTTTCGTCGTATTCGAGTTGGAATTCTCATTTCTGTAGAATACTGTCATGGGAACTGCATCGTGTGTCGCATAACCGATGGTCGACGTGGCATCGTGAACAGAGAGAGGACGATCTGGCGATTCGGGCTCAGGGAAATCCATCCTAGGACTGTGATCTTCCTTTTCGTCAGCTTCATTTGGATCTAAATGCACTTGGTTAACGTCGAAGCGCAAAGAGGATTTCTCACTCGCTCCCGACGGTTGCTTCGATGTTGCGTCAGAATCCATTGGATTTTCAAACCCTTCAGCCCTCTTTCTTAACTCTGCGCCTTTCACCAGTCGGCCAACTACCTTCGCTGGTCTTTGCTAAAAACAAATCATAATAAATGTGAGTCCGTTCTCGTTAACCAGCCGGCAGTGGCTGTCATGTCAACTCACACGCTCGCGAACGCGCGCATTTATAGTGCGCTAAAAGCCTATCAGGGAGGGGAGGGTAAAATTTTTTTAAACCCGTTAGCCTAGTTAGCCCCCTCTTGTGACATTGCGTAGTTTCCAAAAATAGCGTCCTTCCCTGCCAAACCAGTTTTAAAGTACCCAACAAAGCAATATAGCGGCGGAGTAGAAACAAAAGAGAGAAATAACCGGCTTACTGAGACAGTTAAACTTGTCTGTTCGAAGTAGAGAATTATTAATAAAACCCGGGAGTTAAATTAAATTCAACCTATTTTTGACCACAACGTATTGGGTTCTTGAAGTCTCGTGGTTTGGGCAAGACAATGTCATTGAGCATACTTTGGTCAGTTTCGAGTTTCTGATTCAATATATAGAAAAAGTAAATATTAGTAAACCTCGTGTAAATCACTTTCATATTCTTCTGCGGTCCAACAAAGGCTTTTAAACTCATGTAAAATAATTTTACGATTTTAACGATTCTGTTAGTGTACCACGCCATGCAGATCATAACATTTAGCGACAAATTTGACCGAGCTAAACAACTAAATAAGTCAATGGAATACCGGCAAAAAATATTTTCTTAACTCAGAGGCCCAGCCAACCTTCTAGCCTAAATTATTTTCACTATAGGAGCCTAATCTATCGAGGCAATGCTCATTTTTGCGCGTCAGTGTACAGGATTGGCCAGAGGTAAATTGATTACGACGAGACATAGATACTTCTTTACCGCGACTACACGTGTTTAGAACTAGTAATTGGTTACAAGATCATATTTTCGTCCATTTTCCCTTTCAATGTACCAGGAGAGTAAATTCGCGTGACAAAAATGATGGAGACTGAATAAACTGAGGTAAGCATGAACTCTGAACAAAAACAGAACCGGCAAAACTGGCCAGGGACATAAAATATGTTCACGAACCTGACACCGGCGCTGTTAGTCCTGATGGTCCATTACGACGCTGCTGACGTAAGTGGCGTACGAGCAGTGTGCCGCTCGACTAGCGTTGCCAAGTTATGATAAAATAAGGTTGACCACGGTTACATTGCTGATACTCGTTAAGTGCCGTCTTTGAGGGCCAGGCTTACATGGTCACGAATGGCTTTTACGTCTTTGATTGGTTGTTTGCAGTTAATTACCCGTGACTGAATATCCTTCGAACTCAGTTTGCGACACGCAATATAAAAACTTTCAACGTTTGTTAAAGCGAAAGAATTTTCAAGTTGCTTCATTTTAGATTCAAACAAACAAACTATCGTTTCAGTTCGCCTGAGGAATGTCTCACGAGGGGTTAAAAGAGTGTAGTAAAAAAGACCAGCAGAAAAACTAGGCATTACTACGTTGTTCAGTTTCATAAGAATGGATACTTCACTGATATACGATCAACAATTGCTTTGAATTGAATATTGCCTTCATGAATAAATTTTACCTTGGTTGGCCTATTAGCAAACACGCAAAGTTCAGAGCGGAAAGTTTAAAGCTGATTATTTGATCTTTTTACTTTCGTTCTTGAATACTATAGAATCCGTAAGTTCTAAAGCAACCTGCCCCGAAAAAAAAGTCACATCAAACTCATCATTTTGACTCCCGGATCGTAGAAGAAATTTTTGCTCAACAACTATAGTGCCACGTTTACGGAGAATTATTTCTCCGGCACTTAGATTTGCATTTCCATCATTCCAACATCCAGTTGTATAGACTGTGTAATATTGCCTTAACTTACCGGTGCGGCGTCAGGTTTCTTTGTGCCTCTTGGAAGAGAGATCAACAATGAGGTGACGATCCCACTAACTCTGCCCTCGACGAGTCACTCAGTCTGCACTTATACGATACCGGCCATTTGTCGGTACTGATGCCTAACTAAGCAAAACTTTTGTTTTACGCCACGGTGACTAGCTTTGCTTTGTCTTTAATATTATTTGTAATATCTCTAACAGCCCGGGGTACGGGTAGTTTGAATATCTGTTCTTGTTTATTGACTGCATTTAAATTTCAGAGCATTTCATTTTATTTGGATTAAAGTCCAATTGGCAAATTTGTGAAGTGTACTTGCTGTGCCGGTTGTTTTACAATTTCATTGGTTGAACCCGCCTTAAAACTGGTCTAATTCCAGGCATACGTTATTTATTATTGGGTCTTATTCCACTGCTTTGTACTGTTCAAGAATGTTAAAATTTTGCGAATAGTTATCTGTTCAAACAGAATTCAGTCTCGAAAGGACCAACCAGCACATGCAGTTAAGAAACCGTTTCTGGCGCCCGTCCAAAGGTCCACAAATAAGCAAATTGGATCAATGCACAGAAGCAGATATAAATGACATGCTGTTTAAACATCAAAGCTCAAAATATCATTATTTTCTTCCACTGATTCCCTGTACAGTTACGGTACATATATATTGCTAAGCACGTGTCGCACATATGCTAACCTTGTGCCCTTCAAAATATTGACTCGTCTTGTCAAATGTTGCTGGCGATTCGAGCCCTATTAATTTTAAGCTGCATGTAAACTTAATATGCTGCGGTTTATTGCTGACGTACATATAGATAAGTTAAAACAATCGGTGACGTCACAGCCTTCATGAATCTCATAGTCGGCCGAATGTCACGTGAGACCATTATATTCCTCAGTGAGAGGGTCAGGGTCTAATTTGCCAAAGTATACAGAAATTTTTTGCACATTTTGGAAAGTAAAAACCTGGTTCAATTTTAGGTTAAAGAGGTTCTTGTACAGAGGGGGCCTAACTAGCAAATTTTAGCCTGAAACACAATGTCCTTTCAGATGCTGCAAATTCACCTAAGCTCAGAATATATACATTGCTCAGTTCAGGCCTCTTCTATTGGGCATGCTTTTTGCTTTTGGAAAATAGATGATAGACTACAAAACAGACTTTTCTTTCTCAAAGTCAGTAAAGAGATCGGTAAAGTGTGGCGCGAAGCGCACGAGCCTCACACGCCCGTAGGGCGTGTGAGGCCTTTTGTTTGACTGCTCACTCGTACTTGAATACGCAAAATTACGGACTGTTTTGCAGTCTAAATCGATGATCGTCTCAGATGACAAGTTTATTGATTCAAAATGGAGCTTGAGAGTAAAATTAGGGAACCAATGACATCCCTTGCTCTCGCGTAGGTACCCCTCTTAAGCGGGCTGGACCAATCGCAATAACTTCCTCTTTGTTAAATTCTTTGCTTATATTAAATAAAGTTGGTGGACTTTTCAAAGGGGGTTCGCGTCTCAATTTAAACTGTATTTCTCTTTCTGCGGAAAGAGGAACACAGAAAGAAAAAAGCCTTGAAAGTTGATCGTGATGTGCTTGGACCCGCAATCGTAACAAAACATCGTCTAAAACTGTAAAAGGTTTGAACCCAGGACTTATTTCTTAAGCAGGTGGCCAGGAGAATGATGATCATTTGGATGTTGCTGTCCTTCTCCTGGCTCCTTGGACTTTATTTTACCTACAGATTTCAATCCGATCGATATAAATTTTTTGATGCTAACTTTTATGAACGCGGTTAAGTGGCCTTATAGTTCGCACGGGTCTCCCAGCCTGTAGCTTAGTGGCAGAGCATCTAGCAGGGGCACTGAAGGACTGTTTTCTGTCAAAAATCTGTTCGGAGAAGAAAACATTGCCTTGAATTTTCTATTGCTTGAAGACGGGCGGATTTAAACCGTTCCATTCATGCTCAATTTTCGAAACTTGTCTAATAAATTTCCTACAATTTTCTGATGGTTAATTTCTCACATTTCACTCCCCTGCTCCCCTACTCCCCTGCTCCCCATGCTGTTTCTCGTGGAAGAAGGAAACCGAAAATTTTCGGATTCAAAAATGTGATTGAGATAGCCTCAGAAAAATTCTCACATTCGTAAAACGATTAATTGCGTCTAAAATTTTAGGGAAAATAATACTGAAGTCCTAATAATTTCGAAAAAGCTCAAAGTCACCTAGGATGACCGAACAGATACAGATTCTATAGCGCCAGTTAGAAGGTATTTCTAGAGATCTAAAACTACTCTGGATCGGATAACCCAAAAAGTGTCCTCAAAGTATAAATAAGGAGAAAATCGTCGTTTTGTTCCCCTGACCTAGACTAGTAGCCAGAAGGCCATAGGTTCGACTCCTATAAGAAGTGCAGCTTGGAGTATTTCTTCCGAGCCGCCGTTGCTACCCCCACCCCCCACTCCCTCCCCTTGGCTTACTGAATAAAAATCTTTGTCACTTTTTCACCAGGCTTCAAATTCCATATCACATTTCTATCAATCGGATATTTCTTTATAGGTTTACAAATGGTAAGTTTCAAAACAATCGCCGTTATTATTCAAGGAATGATCTGTAATTGAGATAGTACTGAAGAAAGGGGGTTTATATTATGAAAAATCTAGAGAAACTAAGGGAGAGAAACAGTCTGCATTCAAACATATCAGAATCAGGGGCACCCAACGACTGTTTTCTGTACGAATATCTGTTCGGAGAAGCCAAAATTGCCTAGAATTTTCTATAGCTTGAAGAAGGCTTAAAATATCTAGATGACCGTTGACTTCCATTGATGTACAATTTTCGAAGCTTAGCTAAGCTTATCTAATGAGTTCCCTAAGATTTTCTGAAGTTTATTTTTTTCCATTTCACTCCCCAGGTTAAGCTATTTTTCGTAGAGAAAAGAAACCTAAAATTTTCGGAATCGAATGCGATGCAAAGAGGAATCAGAAAAACTCTCACTTTCGTAAAACTTTAAATAGCAGCTAAAATATTCGGGAAAATAATACTGAAGCCCTTGTAATTTAGAAAAGACTCAATCAAGTTGCCCTAGGATGACCGAACAGATAATAATTTTATAGCACCGTTTAGAATGCATTTCTAGAGATCTAAAACCACTCTGGATAGCATAATAAGTGTTTTCAACGTATTTTGGAGGAGGCCGTCGTTGGGTGCCCCTGAGTAATGCTTTCGCAGTGTATTAGCGAGTTTCAGTGTAGACGCCGTGACAAAAATATGTATATGACTTCACGATCACAACTTTCAATTTCAATGAAGGACGTTTTGCCTTCCTACAACAAAGCCTTTATTTTGCGCTAGTGCAAGTCCAAGATACATTTGTAGCAAATCAACGAACTCCTGAAACTTTTCCCTACAATTTTAATTTCTCTTACATTGATTTAACGCTATTCTTTTAGACAAGCCAAGAAAACCAACCTTCTTTGATTTAAATTTATCGAGCCTGAATCTAACTTATAAACCGGCGCCTTAATACTCTTGAGCGTCCTCTTCCTCCCCCTCTGTTGTATCCACGCCAACTTCTTCATAATCCTTTTCCAGAGCTGCTAGATCTTCTCGTGCCTCAGAGAACTCTCCCTCCTCCATCCCTTCTCCCACGTACCAGTGGACAAAAGCACGTTTAGCATACATCAGATCAAACTTGTGATCCAGTCGTGCCCAGGCCTCTGCTATAGCGGTGGTGTTGCTCAACATACACACTGCGCGTTGTACCTTAGCGAGGTCGCCTCCAGGAACGACCGTGGGAGGCTGGTAATTGATTCCGACCTAGTTTTAAAGAAAAGTCTAAGTTATACTGCGTATTTCAGTCGCGTTATTGAGAACGAGAAGGAAACTGGGGCGAGTTAACTCTCGCGAATACTTCTGGGGCTGTTACTATTGGCCAATAGTTGACCGGCGTGTTCCCAATAACGATCCCAGAAACAATTGCAGGACGCATTTCGGCTCCAGTTTTCTTCTCATTTGTAACGTGTCACTAACACTTAACACTTAACTGTCCTGTGGTTTTATTCACTGCAATTAATTCGTTTGTTTCACTATTCGTTCATACTTTGTTGGGTTGATTCTGTGGAGTACACCGAAAGCTGACCAATAACTGGTCAGTCAGACTTAAAACCATGACGAGCTATCAAAGTCAAGCTTGCAACCTCGTTCCCAGGGCTTTTTCCGTTGCAAAGCAGGAAAGTCTACTGATCACTAAGAACTGATTAAAGCTATGTACCTTGAATCCTGTAGGACACCAATCCACAAACTGAATACTTCTTTTGGTCTTAATACTCGCAATAGCTGCATTAACGTCCTTCGGCACCACGTCCCCACGAAACAGCAGACAGCAGGCCATGTATTTTCCATGACGAGGGTCGCACTTCACCATCTGGTTAGCAGGTTCAAAGCAAGCAGCTGTGATCTCAGCGACACTCAACTGTTCGTGGTAGGCTTTCTCGGCCGAGATAACTGGAGCGTAAGTGGCCAACGGAAAGTGTATACGGGGGTACGGCACCAAATTGGTCTGAAAAGTAAGGTAAAGAACAGGAGCCTTAGTTGTTGTTTATTCAACTTACTTTCGGCGTCTATGACATAAGTTTGTTGGCGGTTGGTTCTCGTCCCTGCAAAGCCGGAGAAAATGTTTTCCGGGTTTTCCGGTTTTCGCCTCTCCTAAAAAAACAGACAAACACGTCCAGATTTTAATTCGACCTGGAAGGCATGCGCAAACGGAACACTTTTGAACGAGTTCTTCGGAGTTCCTTATAAGTGTTTCATGGGTTATAATACAATTTCTTTTACATGCTTCTAACAAGCCTAAAAGTAAAGATATCAAGGATCGCAGGTTAGGAAAAACTTCATTTCCTTTAATTATGAAAAAAGAAAGCAGTATCAACTAAAAAGTGTTTCCGATATGGGGACTTGCATTTGAATGTCCACACCTCAAACTTTGTCTTAAGACTCGAGAAAGAATTGGAGCAATATTTCGAATTTTGAACATGGCCGGCGATAAGCGGAAAAAAAAATCAAGGAGCACATTATATTGAAGCAAGTTACTGAAACTTCCTTTAACCCAACTCCGCGCAACGAACAAGTAACGAGACTCAAAGCTCCCGTTTCATTTTTCGCGAGGCCAAAACCTAAAATCATAGTTCCTTGGTCTTTCTTTGCTCCTAAACAACGCGGAAACGCTTGCTACGCAGGCTACTTAGCCTCTGCTTCGCGAGACTCTACGATTCACGTATTTCTAGTAAAAATGAAAATAGCAACTAACCTGAAATTCAGTCAGGTCCACATTCAGGGCACCATCAAACCTAAGCGAGGCAGTGATGGACGACACAATCTGACCAATCAGACGGTTCAGATTGGTGTACGACGGTCGATCGATATCGAGGTTCCGACGGCACAGGTCGTAAATAGCCTCGTTGTCGACCATAAAGGCACAATCGGAATGCTCCAGGGTAGTGTGCGTCGTTAAGATAGAGTTATACGGCTCCACAACGGCCGTAGAGACCTGGGGCGCCGGGTAGATAGCAAACTGCAACTTTGATTTCTTGCCATAGTCTACTGAGAGACGCTCCATGAGTAGCGAGGTAAAACCGGACCCTGTTCCTCCCCCAAAGGAATGGAAGATCAGGAACCCTTGCAGACCGCTGCATTGATCTGCCTAAAAACGTGGGAGAAACGACATCAAATGAGCAAACGCGCACAGTAATCGTTTTCAGCTGTATAAAGAACTCATGACAATTGTGGAGCGATAAGTACGATTATAGCGAACTGAGCAGAGCGGCCTATAGCTGGAAAGGTAAAGGAGGGGCGATCGAGGTCTTTTCACATTTTGTAAAGCTAGAGGACCACGTACGTAACGAGGCTGGGCACTTAAAGACGCTGTCGTTGGATCTGAGAGCAATTGAGGAATTGCATACATTTTAGGCATCCTACTGATGAGCAGTTACGACTTTTAGATATTTTGAGCAACAACAACTTGCCGTTTGTCCTCTTTGAATTGCTTTGTTTCTGTTCACAACGCCGGTACCCTGTTCACTGTCTATCACGCAATCGATGGTGAGTTGGTTAGCCGGAATGTTAGTTGGTTTCAAATAACATCAAATTTTCAAAGAAATATTCTTTCCTGAACGGCATCAACAAATTCTGTAATCTCGTACCCAGATCTACGACGGCCACTTTTCAGTGTAAAACAGAGTGAGATCTGGGTACGAGATTACAAACCTTAAAAGTTACACAGAGCTTTCGGAATCCATCCAAATCCCTTTGTCACTAATGACGACGTTTGCTGTTATTCTTAGCCTCATTTTGTTGGTGTGGAAGAATATTTCTTTCAATGCAATGCCGTGTCCCAACAGCCGAATCTTGATTCTGTCAATATCAATTTTTTTACCCTTCCTAAAGCATTTTTAAAGACTCCTGTAGGAAAGGTAATAGGGATTTCACGATAACCCGGGATGATCGACCCTTCCTAGTTTTTTTCCCAGGGGGTTGAAATTTTCGATTCCCGGATTTTCTTGGGTTGGAAAATTTGACAAGTATTTTTTGGGGTGGTTTGATTTAAGGAGGGAGTTTTTTTGGGTTCAAACAGGAACTGCTGGTTTAAAACAATCTTAAGATTCATGGCAGTGCCCGAACTTCCCGGCCACGTTGTTTTGTGGCTGTTTTAACATTTGACGCATTAAATTGCATCCGTTTCATAAAACCAGATAATAAGACTTGGAAATTTGGCATGGGAATTTCTTGGGTATTGATTTTTGCACCCATTCGAACATCCCTGTCAATTCATGGTGTTAAATTAACCAATTTAAAAAGGCAAGGCATTTCCAAATTGACAAACCAAAATGTCAAAAACAACGTATTTACCGTGAAGAAGACTCTACTTACTCTACTGACTAATGAAAAGAGCGGGTGCTAAAAGTCTGCTCATTGGTTTCCTCGAAGGACAGCTTTCAGATTCCAGTGATTGCCAGGTAGTCACGCGAACAAAATGCCCAGTATATTAATCCGAGTCGCTCTTCACTTTCCTGGCTTACAAAATGTAGCATAGTTTGATATATAAGCAACTTAAATTAAAATTACCATCTTTCTAGTTTTATCCATCACTGAATCAATTTGTTCTTTTCCAACAGTGTAGTGCCCGCGAGCATAGTTGTTGGCAGCATCTTCTTTACCAGTTAGAAGTTGATCGGGGTGAAATAATTGGCGATAAGTCCCTGAACGGATCTCATCTAATAAAATCGTAAGAGAAAGTTAGAAAACCTCGCCAATCTTTTTAGTCCATGTTTATATATATAGTTATGCGGTGGAACAACTAGAAGGACGTGTGGAGAAAAGAGGTCGACATTTCGCGAAGCCATCACGACTGGTTTTCCCGCTAAATAACTTCTGAGAAACGAGCACAGAACTGAAATTCCATACTGATGACGCGTCACTGCCCTGATCTGAGTAGTGGTTCTGATTGGTTGAAGCAAATTACCCTCGCGACGCGTCTAATCAGAAGCACTACCCTCTAGTATGAAATTTCTCCGCTCTCCCCTCAAAAGTCTTTTCGCCGTGAAACCAGTGGTGGCGTCGCGAAATGTCGGCTGTTTCCTTAGGCTAGACGTGTACGAGAGAGACACTGAAGTGGATAAATGTATATTATCATTGCTTAATATATTGAAAAATTATCGGGACGAGGTCGGACAGGCAGCAGTCAGACAGCAACCTTTTTTGAGTTTCTAATGATTGTCTCTTTAAATTTAATAATAATACCCTGCGAGCAGAGGTTACTTTTTCGTCCTGGGCACTTGCGTGAGAAAAGTAACTTCTGCTGCCAACTGTCCATTCTTATCTAAAAATATGGACGAATAAATTTAAAATAACTCGTTAATTATAACTGTAGGTCGGATTGGATATTATGCCGTCTATCAGTGTGGTCGGCTACTGTTCCCGTTTGATCTGCTCCCTCCCTGCGCATTAGCACGATCGCAAAACACGTTAAGCGTGCGCAGTTATCAGTAATTTGTCGCTAAAAAGGTTTTGTGGTTAAATTCTGTTGTTTTTCAACCACGCAATAGAACTTAAAACCATTTTCGGCTAATATGCTGCAACAAGTTGTGTCTCAAACAGTGAAAGAAACGTCGGTCGTCGCCATTTGATCGCGATCGAGTGCAGTTGACGAAATTCACGCACGCAAGATCTAGAACGAAATGAGACGATTGTTGGCAGAGGCTTTTGTTTTCGCCGCCGGTGATTAGCGCGAAATAGTAGCCTCCTCTCGCAGGGTATTATTACCAATTACAAAATAGGATATTTCTCATAAAGAATGGAGAGCCCTAACATCATTTTATTTTAGGGAGTTTTCGGGAGAAGCTAGCTGGTATTCCCCCAAGAGCAGTGGTGACAGCAACTTGCAATTTGAATTCGTTCCGTTTGGAGAAAGTGTCGCAAGTAATTATAAGGAAACCTTTAAACATGAGCTACTTTTTAGCATAAAATACTTTAGCAAAACTACTGTTACCAAGGATATATCGAAAAAAGCATCACAGCAGATGAATATAACCAGCTGTCAAAAATGTTTTTGGAACCGAATGAACAGGTAGTATAGATGCACATCAAAAAAAGGATCTTCCGTTTGCACTGACAAAGTCTTTTCTGTAAAAGGGCCCTGTGGGCACTGATCCTAAATAGTATATGACAGTAACAACGAATCAACCTCAATTGTCAGTTGCTCATCCATAAATATAAAATTCAAATGAATTTTCACCTTTTTTCCTCTACTGGGTGAAATACTCAGGCGAAGATATATATATTAGCTAGAGAATTGTAAAAAAAAAAATACTACGCAATGAATTTTAAAGGTGACAAGCATTTTTTGTAGGTAACAAATGCGTTATCTCATGGGAGGGCAATGACAGCGTGATTATAATAACTACTTTAAAAAAAAGTACAATATAAATTTTTACACTTAAAAATTAGTTTAAACTAGCATATTTAAACGCAGGGGTCACGTGGCCTTAAAGTATCCCTTTACGAATCCACGCACACGCATAAAAACTTGCGTTAATTTTTGTTCGAAACCAAAACTGAACTAAGAACTGCATTTGGGAAGCTGATTAGTGGTTTCGAAATTCTTTTTAATTGTTTCAAGTATACCAAGTTGAAATGTAAAGCAAACTGTATAAATTATTAAGGCGTGCGAAGTGGCTTGATGAAATCTGGCTTGCAAAATCATACATATAAGATGTACTTTATAAACAACTAAAGCCTACCTATGACAGAGGGCTCTAGATCGACAAAAAGCGCTCGAGGAACATGTTTTCCTGTTCCAGTTTCGCTGAAAAACGTGTTGAAAGAATCATCTCCATAACCAATTGTTTTATCGCTCGGCATCTGGCCATCGGGCTGAATTCCATGTTCCAGGCAGTACAACTCCCAGCACGAATTGCCAATTTGGCATCCAGCTTGGCCAACGTGTATTGAAATACATTCACGCTAGAATGAAAAAGATTCAGTAAAACCTGAGATCGCGTGGTTTTATACCCGAAAATAAAGACAGGAAAAGTAAAAGATAGGTAGAATAATAAAAACTGGGAGCAGAAATAGCTCATCTTAGGTCTATTGTTTCAATTACCGAGAGCTCAAAGCAGATATGAGGCACTTATTAAAGATAACTATTTACTATGATTCTATTTTAACTACATCGCGTTTTTTGTAGAGTCTCATATCGTGTTTAATTCTTTCCTACAAAGATCCGACAATATCCTCATGATAGCGAAACCCCAGTAGCCTGAAAACGCTGTATTCGGCTCAGTAGTCACAGATTTGATCATGAATGTTAGTCCAATTTTCCTTAGTCTTGTTTCAACAGACAATGCGGAGTGCTTTCCATTTATCGAATTCACTGTAATGCGCCCCTAAACACAATCAAAAGTGGGCTCTCAAGTCCTTAGCCGGTTTCATTTCAGTAGAGACAGTGTTTACAGTGTCGTCAAGAGTCTTTACAATTTTTGCGTCTGTGACTGAAATGCTAAATTGTTATCGCCGATCACTGAAACAAAAGCAACCAAAAACGGCTTACAAGATGGACGACTACTTATTATTATGATATGTTTAAGGAGCTAATAGTTTTTAAGCCTCTCTGTGGATGGATTCCCAAATACAGTACACTATTTAAAGGGAAGCTTAACTGAGCGGGCATTTCAGGTGGTACAAAGTTGACGTCCTTTGCTGTGGATGAAATCCTGATAATAACAATACTATAATTCACTGTTTCTAAAGTAAATATATACACAAAATATAGTCAAATAAGACAGCGCTAATATTTCAATTACCATTTTGAGTGGAACTTGCAATCAAAGTGAGCTAACGTTAAGCAAATGAACAACTTGTTGAGGGAGAAAGGCAACGGTCTCCAGCTTCGAATCCGTAGTTTCAGATGTGAGCCAGAGGATTTTCCGTTTCGCTTAAAATTCAGCTTTAATTTTATGCAAGTGAATTTAACCAATCGCAATGAAGCCATCCTATTTTTAAATATTATTTGACGTGTCAAATGTGCTTTTCCATTCGGTTTTGCGGAAGATCACGCAAGCTAGGCCAAATTTTGTCCTCACTGCGCATGTAATTAGCTAAAAGGGCGCTTGAAGGGAGTGCCAGAAACGCGACGGCACAAAGCTCATAAACTTCTCAAATTGAGTTTTACAAAGTTTTGTTTGAAGAATATTACAAAAAGAATAACTTATGAGCTTTGTTTAAGGCTAAAATCAGGCCCTCGTTTGGCTAAAATAATAATAATAGCGAGCGAAGAACATGAGTAAACACTAATCGTGCATATCCGCCTTGCATTCCATATTTTACGTTTATTGGTGGTAACCTTTGTCAAAACCGTCAAAAAGTCGGACATCTTGTCAATACCAACTACTGGTGCTCGTGTGAATAATTTAATCAACATCTGCTGGCGGTGTAAAATGGTGAAGTAATTCAGAATAACTCAGAGCATTTGTGTGCTTGGCTTGCTTGCCCTCGGATCTTAAAGGAAATCGGCCTCTCGGTTCACAGATCCCTTCGTGACAAGCGATCTGGGAACGAGACTAGGTTCGCTCAGCTTGACTATGTGCTTTAAGAGAAGAGTTAAATATTCATCTTTCCGCGGGTTCAGTTTTATTTCTCCGATGACCGTAGTGAATTTCTCCTCTACTCGTCGGTTGTAGTTGTGTCTCGCACACGCAGCGCACTCAAACTTCTCAACAACAAGTCACCAAAGTTTTTCATACAAAAAGGTGTGAAATGGCAGTGACCCAAAATGTACAGTACACCAAAATGTGCAGTCCACAGAAAACGGAATTCCCTTGTTTCTTTTATGTAGGTCTTTCCCTTAGTCATTCCTATGAATTTCTGCGGTTTAAACGACTGATGGACAAATTCCAATTAAAACTATCACTTTTTGCCCAAGCTGGCAACAGAGCGGTAGCACGATAGGGTGTTGACAAACTGCCTACCAGCGAGACATGCGAGTCACGCGAGCCATCGGTAAAAATAAACAAAAAACAAGTTAAAACTGCGAATTTACACATTAAGAAGTTGAGCACTCATTATGCTGATTCGGGTTAAGCACTCATGTACTGATTAGGGTTAAATTTTCATTTTACGGATTGGGGTTAAGCACTCATTTTAGGGCTAGGATTAAGCGTTGTTTAGCGTTTAACCCCTTTACAACGGTAAGCTTTCAGTTTATGTTTTCCGTACTACTGTTTTCGATTTTTTGTATTTTCAGTCTTCAATGGACTGCATTGCTCACATTTTATACACACTTAGCACGATACACAGTTTTCGCCAGCATTTTAAACATAATCGACTATAAGAACAGCTAAAAAGCAAACAACAAACAAACAAACAAAACAAACATCAGTTCGTTTTCGTCAAGAGGTGACCCTCCTTGGGAGCCATTACCACTATCTTTTTTTTGAGTAAACGGGTATATGCCGCTGAACAGGGTATGGTTTTCGGAGTCTTCAGGGACCGCGGAGACCATTTTCAAGTGGTAGGGCTAAAAAATCTGGCCAGTACAAAGAAACATTAGGTTCAGTGTTTCGCCATTTCTTTTGCATTTGCGCGCCATCTTATTTACAGCCTCAACAAATATAACATAAACGCCGTCAAGTGTTATGGTATCCAGTATAGTCAATATGTTAAATAAACCTTCCTAGGATTGCTACTTTTTGAAGTTGTCCGCAATGCCGACGTTTCTTTTGCAGTCCTTATTGCTGGAAACAAACTCCTGTGCGTCGTCAGCTTTAGAGACACTGTCTGTTCTCAGCTTGTGACCATTCAACATTACCACTTGGTTGCTAAACCTTTCTTCACAGGGGTGGATCTTGGGGGAGGGTGCAGGGAGTGCGCACCTCCCCCGCCCTGAGATGACCTGCGGTTTTCTAAAACAACTGGTATTCTGCAAAAAAAAAAAAAAAACTATGTGGTTTATTGGTGTTGAAGTAGAGCAAGAGACGAGTGCACCCCTTCCTAAAAAAAATCCTGGATCCACCCCTGCGTCACCCATCCTGGATCAAAGCCACGTCTTCAGACACCGTACGTACAGATGATAACGAACCCTCGCCAGCGGCGCTGGTAGTAGGATTTACGGCAAGCAGCTTACAGATAAGTTTGGACTTCCTGAATTAGCTTCTTTTCTGGTCCTGGAAACTTTAACACCGCCAACGGGATTTCGTCAAAACATGATATCTTCTCCTCCTTTAACATAACTTCCAAAATACTTAGTTGCCCAGGTAGCGCCCCTGTATCTTTAACAACTTCGCTGTATGATGCTTCAAGAAAATGAACTCTGCCTCATAATCGTCACCATTAGCAGCTTTAACCAACAGGTTCTCCATCTGCGCTTAGGAGCTGAAGCTTTCCTGATTAACGCGCTGATAGATAGCCTTGATGATAAGATCAATGGCCTCATAATAGACCCGTCTAAAGTAATCTTTAGCAGTTTAAGGATAGCTTGGTGCACCAGCACCAACCTCCAGTCTGGTCGGAGTGCGTCGTTTTCTTGGAAGCTTGGTTCGCCAAGCAGGCCTTCACTTTTACGGGCAACATTGGCATGGGAATGGTCGAAGCTTTGATCAGTGCGAATTTTTTTGAGCGTCTCCTTTGTTAGATTTGCCAGACGTTGTCCACTGACTGCAGCCATCTTAGTACCCTGAAGATCCTTAGGTATATTCAGTCGGTGTGGGAATAAGGATGCTTTCCAAGATGCAAAGCAAAGAAAAAGTCAATTCGCTCCATTTGGCGTTACATCCTATTCTTATCCTTGCACGCACATCGGGTTGTAATCGTTCGGACAAGCAAACATCCCACTCTTCCATAGGGCAAAGTCAAATAATTCCACGGAAATTTTTTCCATGTCAACTGGAGTCCTATCATATAAATCCCAGCAAAAAAGTGGTAGGGCTATAGCCCTACCAGCCCCTCCCCCTCCGCGGTCCCTGGTCTTAAGTCAAACAGAGTCAGGAAATTTCATCATTTAGCGTCTTGAACATTTTGGTGCTTTTTTGGGCCGGAAGCCTTGAATAGAGTATGGAGGATGGATTGGCTATAAAAGGTCTGCATTTGAGGTACCTAATGAATTAATGAAACAACCGATCATATTTTTCTCAGGTAACATAGGTTAGTTTTCATCGATTGGTTTTTACGCTGGGGGCTGAAAACCAATGAAAACCAGGCTTGTCAGGGGGCCAGTGATGGTCATTTTTCAGTCATTTTACATGACGCGAAATTAAACAACCAAGCTTTTCTCCAACATGGCGGCTACAGGATGTCTGGTTGGTCGTCTGGCATTAGTTACAGGTAAACCTTTGTTTTGTGATTTACATCTAAAACTTTAATCTGTAACGGTTTCCCATTACATAGATGCCAATAAGCTATCCCTAAGGAATTTTTAAAGGGGAAAAAGATATTTTATACTAGAAGTACGTGAATCGCAGGACCTCTAGAAAGACTTCGGGGGAACGGCAAGAAGTTGAAAGGGAAATGAGGCAATCGGGAAGAAAATTTATAAATTAAAAAAAAACTTAAGCTATTTAAAGAAACAAAACAAAACTACAGTATGTTGCCCAGTATCCGGACGGTACCAGTATCCGGACACTTGAAACATAAACTCAATTTTTGAGGCAACCTTTTCAGTTCTCGGTAAACGAAGTATTTCGAATGAAAGCTGAACATTTCAGCTTTAAGATGCAAGTTTTGGCGATTTGAAAGCTTGCGAAACAGTCGTAGAAGACGCCGTTCTGTTCAGGTGAATAAACTTTTCATGGCTAATATTTACGCTGTTTACTGCGCAGTAAAGTTAGTGCTGCTCAGAAAAGGGAGGGTAGTGTGTGATATTTTCAAAGAAACTGTTTTATTTTTAAAGTGAAGATACTTAAGGAAGTCAGGTTTTCAGAAAGTTTATTAATTCTTCTTGAAATTCGATTTGTTTGGAATAACGGAAGCCAGAAACATTCACTAAGTTTTGATGTCATGTGCCCAGTATCCGGACAGTTTTTTCTTTGCTGTACAGAATCGATGAATTAGCTGTGTACATTCTCCGGATAAGATTTATTTCATATCAGTGACTATAATTAAAGCTTAGGATATATGATATAGTCGTAAAATGTAACTCTACTCAACTCCGTATGGGAATTTTCTTCACTCATTCAGAGGCGACTTGATTTCGTGTGCACCGCTTGTTTCGCGTGACTGCATTTTCTATATGTAACTGAAAGCGTCCGAGTTTAACCTGGAATTCTCATACTTTCCCCAGTTGGGACTGCTAGAATGGGGTTGCAATGGGCTAAAAAATGTCACAAAGGGATTGAGAGATGTGAAAGATGGAGGAATTAGTGCTAGAAAAGCAGGCTTATTGTGGGGACTGAGCATGAAGAAATCAACACTGCAGGTCAGACTAAATAGGAGAGTGACCTTTGACCGTCGGGTTGAGGTCCCTTCCCCAAGCTTTTCTTTAAATAAAAAATGAAGAAAGAAAGTCGTTTGCAGATTGGCTAATTTAGCTTGCAAACTGCGGCTTCGGCATGTCCACGGATGCCTTCCTTAAATCAGTGAAAAAGTTCCTAGACAAAGAAGTGAGAAATTATACCATTTTTAAAACAGCCGCTCGCGTTCCCCACCATACCCCAGTCATTTGTTATGTTTTATTTCACGATGCTAGGTTATATTTTCGGAATCGATTGTCAGACTACTTTGCAAGTGCAAGAGAAGCGTATAAGTCGCTTGCCTGTCGAAATTTATGTACAATTACGTTGTTATTGTTGTGTCCGGATACTGGGCCAGCTGTCCGGATACTGGGCAACATAGGGGCTCTGCAAAAATATTAATTTCGCGATGGAAACAAAGCCAAAAAAGTTAAACTGTCTTTCGTCATATTAAGGACTAGATAGATTTTCTCTGGGCCAAATTTCAGAGCTCTTGTGATTAACAAAGGAAAGTTATTGCAATTTTAAACTGAAGTGTCTGGATACTGGGCAACATACTGTACAATAACTAAGAAGAAAACTGAACGAAAATGAAAAGAGAAAAAAAAAAGAAGACAAGACAAGAGAAGAGAAAAGAAAAACAGGTGCTACCCGTAATCGAATTTCAGGACCTTCAGCGCCGGGCCGTATCGTTACCACTCTGCCACGTGGAACACATTGTGAAGGTATCGAAAATTTTTACTAAAACCCTTTTGCCTAGAACTTCCACCAGCGCGCCCTGTATAATGTTGATTGAGCCCTATTAAACACAAATTCGAAGAAGAAGAATGACTGCTGTTTTGACAGTGAAAACTCAATGTAAACCATTTCGTAAACGTAAACCATTTTAAAGGGGAAAAAGATATTTTATACTAGAAGTACGCGAATCGCAGGAGCTCTAGAAAGACTTCGGGGGAACGGCAAGAAGTTGAAAGGGAAATGAGGCAATCGGGAAGAAAATTTATAAATTAAAAAAAAACTTAAGCTATTTAAAGAAACAAAACAAAACTACAATAACTAAGAAGAAAACTGAACGAAAATGAAAAGAGAAAAAAAAAAGAAGACAAGACAAGAGAAGAGAAAAAGAAAAACAGGTGCTACCCGTAATCGAATTTCAGGACCTTCAGCGCCGGGCCGTATCGTTACCACTCTGCCACGTGGAACACATTGTGAAGGTATCGAAAATTTTTACTAAAACCCTTTTGCCTAGAACTTCCACCAGCGCGCCCTGTATAATGTTGATTGAGCCCTATTAAACACAAATTCGAAGAAGAAGAATGACTGCTGTTTTGACAGTGAAAACTCAACGTAAACCATTTCGTGGCATTTAAAGATATATGATCGATTGGGCGGCCGACTTTGCAGGTCACTAACACCACGTGCAGTACATGCACTTCACGCGTAATGAGATTATAAACCTTGTGAGACAAGACACCTTCGGCACCTTGCTTTGCATGCCCTCGTGAAACTGAGTGCTTTGCGATGGTAACTGGTCATTTCACCCCCAAGTCATTTCACCCTGGTTACTTCACCCCCTATTGTCGAGTCATTTAGCATGCTTCAAATATAACATTCCTCGTTTTATAAGCCATAAACCAAAACAAGCTTGCTTCAAATGTAATATTTTTCATTCTATAAGCCAGAAACCATAACAAGCATGCTTCATATATAATATCCCTCATTCTTAAGTAGGGGCTAATTACCTGGGGCGAAATGACTGTAAAGCTTTGTGATCGAACACAAAAACCCGCAGTACTCTTTAAGCTTATTGATCTGCTTATACAGAAAACAGCAACAGATGGACACAAAAGTGGAGATGTTTTGCTGTTTTTGGTTTTGTTTGCATTTTTATACTCAGTCTGCACTCTGCAATCGAGTCTGCTTGGATTTTAGAATTACCACACTGAGACAAGTTGAGTCAAGCCATGATTGGCCTGTTTAAAATGCCACTGTCGATTTGCCAATCAGGCTGAAGAGTAATTTGCAATGTATTTCCAATTATTTGTTCAGTTCGTTGGGTGCCCAGATAAAGAATATAGGCCCAGCACAGGTAACTCAGGCTCACTATTTGTGTCACGTATGGGTGAAACTTCATGTGCATATTAAGGACAACAACAACTCGCCACATGGTAAGTTTCATCGATTTTATTTCCATTCACCAGCAAATTTCCAGACCTAAACTTCACCCCATATGTTCTTTATATTTACTCATGTTATATGAAACCCATATGTGACATAAATGGTGAGCCTGGGTTACCTGTGGGCCCAGCAGATACTGTGATGCAGGCTACCTTTCTTCTGAATCAGTGTTCTCCCTAGGCTAGGCAGAGCAACAGGTATTTCAAAGACAGAAACATTGTCTGGTGCATTTATTTGTGTGTTTTCTCACAAGTTATTGCTAAAGGTGATTTACCATTGAATTAATATGTTCAAACCTGTGATGCATTAGTTTTGTTGATCGGCAGCTATCTTTAAATTGTTTCAGAAACACAAGGGCCCTTTAAGGAGCCTATATTGAGTACTAAAGGAAATTCCTGCTATCGCAGTCAACCCAAGATGCAAGGAACTAAAACAGTGTTATTGATAATAAAAGTGACTAAAAATTCCTATGTAATTCGTGCTTTAAGTATTTTTCTTGCTAGAACACTGCTGATTGGTTTGATTACAAAAAAATATGTTTGATATTTAAGGTTCTGCTAGTGGAATTGGGCAAGCTATCTGTCAGGCTTTAGCCTCGGAGGGTGCTGGTGTTATTGTAACAGATCAAAACAGTCAAGGGACACAGGAAACATTAGACAGCTTACCAAAACATGCCAGTTTGGAACACAAAAACTATTCCTTAGATGTGTCAAGTGAGGAGGAAATCTCTAAGGTGTTAGAGAACATCATAAGTGTGTACGAGAAACCACCCTGTATTTTGGTCAACTGTGCTGGCATCATCAGTGATAATGTCTTGCTAGACATGGATGAAGAGAAGTCTGGTAACATTTTACTCAATCTCAAGGTACTATGCTCTTAGGACTTATTAAATGAGTAGGAGGGTCAGAGGGGAAAATGCTTGGCTCGAGGTCAGGACGTACACTACAGATCAAGGAGACCCAAATATTAATCCCATCTGGCCCAACCTAACTCAGTCAATAAGTATTTCATCATATGACCAACTGTTGTGTTTTTTTCGAACTGACTTCCTGATATATTTACTAGATGTGACTGTGTAATCAGATATCCTCTGGATAAATTATTTTTAAAATTAATAATCAATGTTGTTTATATTCCTGTGGCATATTATTTTTCCAGGGGACCACTACAATAACTGAAGCAGTTGTAAAAGTCATGGTTGATCATGGTGTTAAAAATGGTTCTGTTGTGAATTTACATGCTAATTTTTTGGGAAAGGTGAGAGAAATTTACATGATGTAATGTTGATTATAGTGATAATGATGATGATGATGATGATGATGATTTGAATCTTATTGCATGCGAAGAGCACGTGGTCTTATCTCCTTGCACACAAAACATGCGTTGTCTTAGCAAACTGCATAATCGGATGCCCCATATTTCTTACTACTTCAGGGCTCAAAGTTAGCGACTAACTCGTCGCATATGCGACTGGATTTTTGGCTGTGCGCCTAAAAATCCATGTGTAATCGCACCTGTGCGCCGTAAAACCCAAAGCACAGTGCGACTGACTTACTTCCGACTGTACTTACGAACTCGAACTAGAAAGACGGTGTATGTTTAATTGGTCTTTTCTCCCAATGGATTCTATGAACTCAAATGTTCTTTTTCATTTCGATGTTTTACTCCATCCCAGACTCTTCTGTTTTGTAATAAACACCGCTGACACATGCAAATATATGCTATGAACGAAACACGTACTTTTTGCGCAATGGACGATCATGTTGAACGTTCAGTTTTAACGTCAATCAAAACAAAAACAGTGCGGATTAAGAGCCTTTTTTTCCAGGTAAGAAAGTTTTTTAAGTCGTATTCCGGTTACATGTAAGCCATTGCGCATTTAACAAATTCATTAAAGATTAATTTTCATTCTCGTTCGACACACTCATTGTTGTCAGTTTTGAATTGGTTTTCAAGTGTAAGTTTTCTTTAGTCACGACTGTACTGTCAAAAAAGAGAAATTAGTATTAGAAATCACAACGGTATTACTACGTAGCAAATCAGGTGTGTTTTATCAATCACAGGACTGAAGTAAAAGTAACAAACTGACAAATAAACAAGATGACAAATAAACGTGGCACTGTTAAGCTTTTTACTTTTTCTTTTGAAATAGATGCTCCCAACATTATAAGCTGTGCTCCTAAAATCTTCAGCTGTGCGCCTAAAATTTCGGCAGTGCGCCTAAAAATTTACATCTAGTAGCACAAGTTCTCCCAAACTCAAATTTAAACTTTGAGCCTTGCTACTTATGAATATATCTCCTGGTGTCTGCCATGACACCATGTAGGGTTACGTCGTGGAGCATGTTGTGTGCAGGCAACATTAATAGACTTTGCCATCGATTTATTCCAGTGCTCAAAGTTTAAATTTGAGTTTGGGAGCACGTGTGCTACCAGAGGTAAATTTTTAGGCGCACTGCCGAAATTTTGGGTGCACAGCTGAAAATTTTAGGAGCACAGCTTATAATGTCGGGAGCATCTATTTCAAAAGAAATTGTGAAAAGCTTAACAGTGCCACGTTTATATGTCATCTTCAGCTTGTTAGTTTTATTCCAGTCCTTTGACTGATAAAATGCAGTTGATTTGCTACCCAGTAATACCATTGTGATTTTTAATACTAATTTCTCTTTTCAACAGTACAGTTGTGACTAAAGAAAACTTACCCTTGAAAAAAAAATCAAAACTGACAACAATGAGTGTGTCGAACGAGAATGAAAATTAATCCTCGAACGTAACTGGGATATGACTGATATTACTTTCATTGCTTGAACCTACTGTTTAACGTCTTACTAGTTCGAGCACGTAAGTATGGTCATAAGCAAGTCAGTCACATTGTGCTTTGGGTTTTATGGCACACAGGTGCGATTACACGTGAATTTTTAGGCACACAACAGAAAATCCAGTCGCATATTCGACCAGTTAGTCGTTAACTTTGAGCCCTGTATTCATGAAGGGCTGATGTGTTTATTCATTGTCTGTGGGTGAATCACGAGAATTTTCTCATGCAAATGACACACAACGGCGAGCACAACAATGCTGTATTCATCAAGTGGCTGGAAATCCTCAATGGAGAAGAAATTTCACTGAGACTCCTATGGGGCGAGAACGCTGGTCAACATGAGTTTCAGTGCAAGCAAGGGACCTATGCAGCTTTGGCCACCCTTCCCTAACAACAGCAACCCCATTTAATGTCCCAGGTCCTTTTTAACACCAGAGCACTGCGTTCAAATTTACTAAAACCAAAAGGCGATTGAGTATATCGCACTGTCCAGTATTAGAGCCAGTGTTAAAATCCGCCTGCCCCAGTTACACAATTTACTCTATTTCTCTCCTGCCCTCCCATCCCCGACATTTCACAGGCGTCCTCCCCAGGGCTGCGATACATGTATTTCTAGTAGTATGACATTAATGTTATTGTTTCTTCTTTTAAAATAGCGTGTTGTAGATGTTGGTGAAGCAAATTTTCCTGGCTCCAAAGTTGAAATTAACGTTCTAACACGGTTAATTTCTGAAGGACTTGGAAAGTATGTACATTGTATCTCACAGTTCAAAGTATATAGATGAAATTGGTAAATAATTTTATATAGATTTAGGCAGAGCTAAAAGCGAAGCTCCCATTTATGCATTTATAATTTCTTTTAGACAGTGAACTTAGAACCATTTGCAAAGAAATCCACAAATCTATACTTAACTTTAGGACCATAGATTATGACTTTTAAGGACTAGCTGAAAAACATGCAGTTGAGCCTGTGATCATTCAAAAGCTAATAACCAGGGCTTCTGATATTTCGCGCGGTCGCGGACCCGCGAAATTCAGGGTTTTCCGCGAAATCCCGCGAAATTCCCCCCAAAACGCGAAATAGCGCGAAATCCGCCAGAAATATTTCTAAATACTTGTCGGCAAAACATATTTAATACTTATCTTGGCCATTACACCTGTTTTATTCACCCCAAACGTCCAAATTTATCTTGAAACTTCGTCATCGCAACGAGTAAACAACGTCCCAAAACTACCAGGCGTTCTTAGATTAATGTTGCGAAAAACTGGGCACCAACCATAATGTTAATCGCTCATTTCTCGAGCGAACTGTTGTTGAAAGAGCAAATGATTATCCCTGTTAAAAAAAAAAACAACGTTAAACAACGCTGGTCATATCGACGCAAAATTGATCGACTTTAGCGAAATTTGCCAGAAAAAATCCAGCGAAATCGGCTGTTTTTTACCGATTGTTTCTTGGCGAAGTTTCCCCCCGAAATTTGCCGTGAAATAGGCCCGGAAATCGGCCTATTTTTCTAAGAATTTGCCCCTGAAAATCCTTCGATATTTGACTTTTTTCTGCTAAAATTCCGCGAAATCGAACGATTTTCCGGCAAATTTTGACTTTTCTCCCGCGAAAATCCCGCGAAATCGGCCGATTTTTCCCGCGAATTATGACTTTTTTCCCGCGAAATTGGCCGATTTTTCCGCGAATTTGTCCCTGAAAATCCCGCGAAATTTTGCTTTTTTTTCCGCGAAATATCAGAAGCCCTGAATAACTGGCCAATGGAAAAGCTCAAAAAACAGGTGACTTTGAAAAGTTAAGACTTGAGCCTGTGATGTGGTCATGTAGTTCTGGTCAGCGGATACCCTGTTTTGAAAGCTGTCAATTGCCCATAACATGGATGTCTATTATGACTTCCGGTTTTCCGATGGAAAGCAAGGGGATACGACTGGATTCTAGTCGACGGTATTGGACAACCCTTGTCTATTATCAAGTTAAATGCATGTTACAGTCGCTAAAAAATGTGACATTTTACATTGGTTTGCCTGCAGTACAGACGGACAAAATTTTCTTGGTTGTATAGATAACCGGGAGCCCATAACCCAAAGCGAGCAACTCCCACACTAGGCCTATGTCATGGTGTTTTTACGGACCAGTTTATTTTTAGACACATTTTAGGGCACTTTTTTCCACCGAAAATAGAACCTTCAACATGTCTATGAGCTCATTCGAAGTATAATATGTCAAAAAGGAAAACTAAACGTTATTAAAGGACAAAAAATATTATTTTTAGGTCTGTAGATTTTACTAACTGGTTTGTGGAATTTAAAAGATATTGAAAATTTGCGCCAAAACCGCTCTAAAAATAAACTGGTCCGTCAAAAATGCTGTGACACAAGCGCATGGAAGTTGCTCGCTCTGGGTTATGGTGCTTCACTGCACGTGCGGGAAAGCTGCGCTATATTTGCATGAGTAGCAGGGATGTTTCCTGACAGGAGTTAGTTATGATGGAGGCTCATTGTGAAGTCTATTGTGGAGAGTACCTCTCCTCTCACACAGATATTAATTTTTTCATCTCCTCTAAAACAGTGGCAGATCGAGGGAGAGTTTCTTGATGACCACACCCTTCCCCTCTTGTTTTCTCATTTCAAACTGGTTTCTTGAGTACGAACATCCGTTTATTGATAAAGCAATGGTCACAACTGAGCCACTAAAAAGGCAAATTTCGCGGGATTTTAAAGTTTTTCTAACAGAGGTCATCATTTGCTCTTTCAACAACAATACGCTCCAGAAATGAACCAATGGCAAAGCCTTTAACATCATGGCTAGTGCCCAGTTTTTTGCAACATAATCTACGCCTGGTAGTTTCGGGACATTGTTTGCACATTTCAGTGACTAAGTTCCAAGATAAATTTGCAATTTTACGCAAGTAAATAGCCCCTGTAGCTGAAATAAGTTTCAAATATGTTGTACAGACATGTATTTGATAAGATTTCTACTGAATTTCGCGGTATTTTTCGTGTTTTTGTGAATTTTGTGGGATTTCGCGGATTTATCTGAATTTCGGGGCTCAGAAGCCCCGCAGCTATTAGGCCTGGTTTCGCAAGGACCGCAAACGATTATGCCGTAGAACGTAGGATCCATAGAAGACCCGATCAGCAAAAATATGCAAAGTAGACACATGATTGAATTCTGCAAAGGTGATCGTACTGTGTGAAAATTAACTTTGCAAGACGTCAACACAACAACAAAAAACCGAAAACAGAGCTTCTCTGTTTGTTGCGCTGTACTGATGAGCCCCAAGAACGGTGAAACAGCTGCCTACAGCTACAACCCCGGGTTCTTTCGGTATCGTGTTGATTTCTTACAAAGTTAATTTTCACGTCGTACAATCACCTTTGCAGAAATAAATGTGTCTGGTTCTGACACAAAAAAACAGCAACAAGCAGCATGTGCTCAACAAATATCGTCCTTGCTTTAA